ACAAGTTTGGACTCCTTCCCGAAAAAAAGATATATTGAAGATTGAAAAAGTTCAGCACACTTTTACCCGTCTGGTTTTCCGTCGTGCGAGTGGTGGAACACTAGTTGATATGCCAGACTGTCACCTACGCTCTAATAAATTGTGCTTGACTTCTCTCAGAATTAGACGCATGATCTCTGACCTGGTCTTTTGTTTTCGTATTCTTCGCATGGAAATAAAATTAAAAGCAAGTAAATTTTGGATTTTCAAACCTGTTGGTACTAGGCTAGGTGGCTTTAATCTGCATTATAAACTTATCAAGCTACATCAGTCTGGAATATTTAACTACACGTTCTTCCGCTGTGCAGGATGGTTTCAGCGCTTACCCGTTGATGTTGTGTCAGCGCGTAGCGGTGAAGCCTTCAAGAAAAAATTGAAAAAAGCTAATTTGACCCAACTTTTGAGCAGTGATACTTCTTTTTGATTGCGTTGCGTTTCTAATGTTATGTTCAGATTTTTTTAGGGTTTAGGTTTTTAGGGTTTATGGTTGTTATGGTTCTCCTACGCTTGATTCTGAGGCTTGATTTTCGTTGCACTTCGTTTTTTTTCTTTTTTTTGCTTCTATTTTATTTCTCATCTCTCAAATTCCTTTTTCTAGATCCTTGCTTTTGTTCCATGTGCTTCACTATCCTTTTCGTTTGACGGTTCTATGGCATGCGACTCCGCCTGTCTCAGTTTGGTGTTTACTCGGGGCTGACTATGGTGGAAGGGATGCGATTAAATGAATGTCTTGCGTTGGATTTTAGTTTATGTTAGATCAGATTCCACCAAATCATTGGACCTTGGTTCACACCATTGCCATTCGTTGTGTTGGCTTTTTTATTCAACTTTACACCTCACGCGTTAGTTTGAATCTGGTTCATCTCATCACTTCCGTTGATGTTTGGGTTAGCTTGTTTGGGCTTAAAACTTTTGCATTGTGCTACCTCTTCCGGAGTTCTGTTCTCTCCCCAGAGTTTGGTTGGGCGGGTTTTACCAAAATTACTACCAATACACCTGCTTCCAACATATACATTTGCTTATGTTTGAATAAGAGCATTTTTGCTAAGAGCAGGGGGCATGAGACAGACTCCATCAAACCCTCTACACCTGTGATGACTTCATATTACTCTAGACAAGCTCACTCCCTTTCTTCCCTAGAAAAGATTTTGCGGGCTGGACTTGAGCTGATTCAGTGGAGTGTTTGCCTGTTTTCGTTCTTTTTTTTGTTGCTAATTGTTTAGTGTGATGCTTTGTTCTGTGTATTGGGCCCGCCTTGTGCGTATCCAATAAATAATTAAATAAAAGCAGAAGTCTTCGGACTCGCCATCGCACAAGTGCAAAGTCATTAGGTGATCAGAAGCGATACAAGCTGGGAAACTTGCACCCTGGAAAACTCTTGCCCACATTTAGATTCCTTGCTCTGCTGTAATCCGCGCATGCTGCCACAGTTAAGGTATAGGGATTCCACAACCTTTCAGCTCAGACGAGAACTGTACTCGTCCAAGTTTATAAAGTTTGGAGGAAGATTGTTTGCTTGATTTCGCAATCTCCGAGGCAATTTGTCGGATTCAGCTTAGCGAGCAAGCATAGCTAGGCAAAAATCTAGCAACTGAGTTACCCAGTCATTGATAAAGAGAAATTGAGGGACATGAATCACATCGTTGTTAACGTCAGCTCGCAGTTTTAGTATAAGTTCAAAACAAAGTTGTTTTTAGTTGCAACTTCAAAGCTGTGGTTTCAACATAACTACTGCGCTTGAAGGCAGTGTCCAGGCAAACTTGGGCACATAGTGTTCGCGTGAAAACTAATGAGGGGATACTAATTAAGCCACTGCACAGACAGCGCAAAACATTTACGGCTGAGAAATCCGTCTCCAAACCCTCAAAGCCGGAGCCGTGACCGCAACCCCGCAATTGACGCTGCCGTGTGTTACGGTTACGACGCAGGCGGGACGAGTTTGAAGATGGATTTGAATTGAAGAAAGATTGAAGATTTCTCAGCCGTGATGAATCATTTGCGCTGCCGCTAGGGCAGTGCCTTATTCAAAACATCATCAGTTCAGAAAACGCATGCGCCCGATTTACTGGGCAGTGTTTTTAAGATAATGATGAAGAAAATGCGAAACACATAAGTCCCACTAACTTATAGCCGGCAGCATCTGCAATGAAACAATCGAAAAAATCTTACTCTGTGGGCTAAATCCTTTTTTAGCAACCCACGCTGATATCAGTGTATAATTGCTACATGCTTGAGCTAGGGTACGCTCGTATAAAAAATGACTTTTATTTAGACAGATTTTTAGATGTGTTCTTCTATCCTTGCCTAGTGGGATAGCACTTGCGTCAAGAGTGTACCAAAGTAAAGGCATAGCGTCCATGTCTACGGTTTATAAAAGTGCTATGTCTTCCTTGAGGTAGAGCTTCCCGTCTAAAATTCCGCACTAAATCCGTCTGAAGGTAAATAACCTTGAGAATTTTTTTACAAGTATGAGAAATACGTTTTTGATACTAATGTTGGGTGCTATCTTGAGAGATTTCATCTTAAGATATGATGACGAATATGAGCACACTCTTGTTTGGCACATGTTACTGCATGCCTCTGTGGTTCACCTAGTCTATGGAGATGGCGCTCAAAAGTGGTACCTTCCTATGCCCAAGTGAGATGATACGTGAGTCCCAGCTGTCTCCCCAATGGCTACCTTCTTACGTCCACTCGGGTCAAGTCGCTTCCCATTCTGACCTACGGTGGGACACTAAGTTTTCCTTGTTTGATCTTGCTGCTTTCCACTCTTTTATCGTTATCTGCAGAACCAATTTCGGAAAAACCGTACATCCCCTAATCTGACGCGTTCTCAGACAATCGCATCGGGAAGTTCGCGGGTGCTTGTTCGACCACCAATCATCCATGCCGCGAGCTGCCCGGTATAAACCGATATTGGACCCGATAAGTGACCGCGGCGCACCCTGTAAGCGCCCGATAGTTGACCCGATTTGCATGCTTGTGAGGCCCAGGAAGAGTGAAAAATCTTTTGACATGTCTTTCATGACAATAACTTGAGCACAAATTGAGCAACTTGTTAGTTCATATGTCGACATCATCTAGTGTCGTCGATAATACTCATCCGACTGCTGAAGTTTATTTTATAAGCATAAAAACTCAACTCTGTCAGATAGGACCAAATCCGAGAAGCGATACCCACCCTCATAAACACTTAGGGTAGCCCCATCGCTGCGACGCACCTCACGCAAGTTGCGCCTCAACCTACAGCGTGTAAGAAGTGCGACCTTTGATAAGGCCCGCGGCACACCGAGTGAGGTGATTGGGCCGCGACCCTCCCGGTAATCTCTTCCCAATTTCATCTTTGGCCGCGGCATTCCCGGTAAGATATACATGGGCCGCGGCGTGCGGGGCTAAAATTTCAAGGGCCGCGGCGGGCCATGTAATACGCTTTGAGGCCGTGAACTTTCCGATGCAATTGTCTGAGTTTGCACAAGTGTACGAGTGATTTTGATAGGTACTAAAAGTTTCGAATGGTCTAGTGGTTAGCGCTGTCGATCATTGCACAATAGATTTCCGTTTGTTCTCGGTCGGTGCGAATACTTTTGCGTTGGAAAAGCATTCCGTAGTTAACGAAGATACTTTCGAGATCAGAATTTCAAGGCATGCATTTTTTCATTTTCATTATTATTTATACACTCAAGGCGTACCATAAAAATGATACAAAAGAGGTTAGTAATACAGTGGAATGGACAGAGAATGTTAATTAACGAATGTGAACGATAGCAAACATCATCGTGTCAGTTCGAATCTAATCCCAGTCAGAACAGCGTAAGAACGATAGGAAACGGCTTGCATCCAATATGTTGATAAACTAATGTAGATGTGAACCAACTTCTTGAGATAGGACCTATGCCCCCTCGTTGCCAGCGGAAGGATCTTTACATACTCTCAAAAGCAAACCGGCAGTTTTTAAGGTGGGTTTACAGGCCATGATAACATAACCCCGCATAACGTGGGTATTCTGGGGAGGCCCAATAACCTCAGAAGTGAACACGATTCACATTTGATCCATTTGGTTAGCAAGCTATGAGATTTAATGCTAGATAGCTGAGCGAAATAGACCTCGAAATAAGATGGTATGAAACTGCGTTAGTAAAAACTAGAACAAAACGAGTAAACCGATGAGTAAATGTAGCGTGAAGAGATATACAAGAAACGTCCGAGCCATAATTGATAGCCATAATTGAAATAATGAACTATTACAAGACCAAAGCACCTCAAATGGCAGTTTTCAAAATGAAATTAGGAAGGAAAGTTGATGGGAAGCAAAACTTATCCGTCACCAACACAGCACATCCATAGCCGTCCAGAGTAAACCAGCGCAACTCCAACATTTCTGCTACAAAAAGGCTTGGATTGTAAGGCAACGCTAATCAATTTCAGCGAGTGCATGACAGGTCAAGTCTCCTTAGTTTACTCCTAAAAATTTTGATGTATAACATATTTCAAAAGGCCACGACCACCAATTATCCTTTCCTTGCAAGAAGTATAAATTTTCTTTGTCATTGCGATCTGCCGATTCCTTCCATGTTCCGTCTCCAATCTCGCACTGGCTTGCTAGTGTAAGCAAAAACGTTTCAGAAATCGTTTCAGAAACGTTTTTGCTGTACTAATCATCATTCCCTGTCATTAAATATGCTAAACTCGCTCTCATACTCTTGAGCTGCCTCGTTCAAAGTATTCAAACTTTGGTTCTCTGCTCTGTACCAGCACTTCAAGGGTAGCTAATCGGCTATGGTGGTTCTCAGGGGATAATCCCAGGACGCAGTCTACATAGTGATTGTCTTAGGCATATACGACCAATAAGCAAGTTGAGCTCTTAAAATGCGTCAGCGAAGCTGTTATGAAGGGTATTTTGAAAACAATCATTAGCATACTTTCCGAAGAGTATAAAAGGCTCTAAACTGAGTAGGCACCATTTCTGTCAGCTGTCTGCTAGCGGAAGAGTTCAGCAATGGCTTCAGTTCCACCGGGTGATATCAACACTCAGCCGAATTCGAAGATCGTCTTCAATGCGCCATACGATGACAAGCACACTTACCACATCAAGATCATCAATGCTTCTGGACGTCGTATTGGATGGGCTATCAAGACCACAAACATGAGGCGATTGGGTGTGGACCCTGCATGCGGGGTGCTCGATCCCAAAGAGGCCACACTTATGGCAGTCTCTTGCGACGTTTTCGACTACGGCCGTGAGGTAACGGCTTTGCTGGCCTAGCGCTCGTTCTCATGTCATCGTTCCTTTCAGGATACCAACAACGACCGTATTACTGTTGAATGGTGCAACACCCCTGAAGGTGCAGCAAAACAATTCCGAAGGGAATGGTTCCAAGGCGACGGTATGGTGCGCAGGAAGAACCTTCCTATCGAATACAATCCTTGAACGGACTAGTATTGAATAAATTTGTTCGCCAAGTAGTGTATCGCTAAGAAACTCTCGATACTAACGGAAAGTGTAGTGATAAAGCTTTGGTGATTGTACTGTTCAAGTGCACGCACAAGTATTACTTGTAAAGACGATTTTGGAAGATTGAGCGCACTTGCGTTGAAGTTAGCGAAAAAGGTGCTAGTGTAAAAGCAAGCAACGGATGTCTGTGTTACGTGAGTAATTGAACGGCATTCTAGCTTGCTTGTTCGTATGTTATTCCTATGCGCCTCAGTCATCGATTTATTTTGCGAGAAGCCCACATTTACTTCCATCACGAAAGACATCCTCCACTGAATGCAATCAGACTCATTATCGTTCAGGAAAAACCGTATTCGAAAAAAAGAAGTATTAAAAAGTTGCACATGTGCAGGGCGTCGCAAAAATGATACCCTGTTTTAACATAGATCATTTCTTGCTTTTCACGCCTTTGGACCCTATATTATCACCTGAGAAAAGGTCATGGCTTACACTATGCAAGGAGTTTCCACAGAGCATCGCCGCGCTGAAAATCACCCGTTCAAGGGCCTACTCGTTAGTACTCTTGGCACAATTTCACATATGCATCGAACCATTCTGCACCAACCTCTCATTACCCTTCCCTCCTAGTTCTCTGCCGTGCCACTTTAGTACAAAAGAGATTTTGTAAGAACGCAAAGCTTGTGCGGGGACCGCCGTGCACGATGTGAATCCTGACTGTGCCTTATCTTCCCTATTACAATAACCCCCAAGGCCCCGGACAGACTTCACGCGATTTGATTTCGCGACTGAATCGCGACGAGACAACTGTTACAACATCATTCCATGCCGATCAACTTGCATTTCGATTGTGATACTTTTCCAGCCCGAAATTTTTGAATGTGAAATGAAAATGAATGGAAATGTCCGCGATTCAGTCGCGACGATCAAATCGCGTGAAGTCTGTCCGGGGCCTAAGGGTTATTTACATGTATCTGTGTGTGGACGTATGTCCGGGATCAAGAAGATGAGACGAAGAGAGAGAGAGATCTCTTTGAGACGCATCACAGCGCATGCTACTCACTAGGTTCACCATATACGAAACGGAGGAATCTCACACGCGGATTCATTGAAAATAGTAAATTTAATGAACCGCACTGCTTTTGGACCACAAGATAGGGTCCGCTTAACCTTTCTGTATAATGCATTTCGCAATTCGTGGGCGTCAACTCGAAACCTGCTTAGTAGTTAGATGGCCCGTCTTCATGTCGCGGCGTGCGGCCCCAGCACAGAAGTTTCCACTTTTTCCTATTTCTCGCTTCAGACATTCCACGTGTGGCTCGCTAGCCCAAAAAATCATAACTTCTGTCGCCTCATCCCCCTCTTTTCTCTGTGCAAAAAAAAATTCTGCAAGCGCTATTGCTTTCATCGTCAGACCATACTTCAAATTTATAAGTTGTAAGTGGGAAGCAATAAAACTTGTGTAAACAGCTTCAGCGGTGAAGTTTATTCTTGGTCCAAAGCACATTTTGTGAGGATGTCTATCTTTTGCGCTGCTTGCCGAAATGGTGTAACATGCAACGATGCCATACAGCTTGTGCCTTGCCTGCACGTGATATGCCTCAAATGCCAACAGAAGACAAGGAAAACGAGCAAGGTTTTTTCCAGTCGAGAGGAAAACAGTGTGTAGTCATTTCCTTGATATGTCGTCTAGGTCTGCCCCGCAAAACATTGCTACTCACCTTTGGTTCCACCAATGGATATAAGATGGAATCCCTGCGAGTATGAGCGTTGTTTGAGAAAGCTGGCTATAGCCGGAGATGTCTATCATACTGCCTGTCAACATGATCTGTGTGCACAATGTTTTGACGAAGCGAATAAGACGTGAGTCTTGCAGAAGAAACAAAGGGCTGCATTTTAATTTGACCATGTGTTCCTCCGAAAGTAAGTAACTGATGCCATCCGCTCTTTCAGACATCCAAAACTCATTAAAAACTTGCGCTCCAACATACAGGGTGTCCCAACAAAGTGCCTACTTTTTGACTACTGATAGCTCTCTTGTCATGGAATGTTTGGAGAAGCTTTAGGTAATGTATTGTAGAGTTGGCTTCAACTTAGGCTCACAGTATAAGAGAATCAACCTTCTTTCTTCACTACTGTAGGATTACGGTAGGAACTTTGAAGAGGCTTTTGAGCCATGGAGAGTTCTATTCTGTTCAAAAGGAAACAAAGCATCTGGAAACTTCACATTATGCTAACCAAAGTTGCTGATTTTAAATATGAAGTGCGCATCTTATTATAATGCTTTCTTAAAAAGTTATGCCAGGTAAGCTGTAGCAGCCGTTTTTTCGATACAAAAAAAATAGTGCTAAATTTTCAGCTTTTTTGAAAGTTAAAATGACAGCTTTTTAGAATGAAGTCATATGCCGAAAGTTCCTACCGTGATCTTACAGCAATGAAGAGCGATCAGCGAATCGCTCCATATTGACAATCTAAGATGAAACTAGCTCTACAAAATGGTGCCTGGCTTCTCGGAAGACTTCATGACAAGAGAGTTATTAGCAATCAAACAGTTTTTATTTGAGACTAGCTGGCATACCCGGCTCCGCCCGGCCCTGTCAATACACGTGATGATTGCCGTTTCTAATTTTTTGCACATTTCCCGGCCCCTGTCCCTACTGATCATTATGTTTTTGTAAATCAGCATGCTCTCTAAGCTCCTGGTGCCCTTCCAACCCCGTAGCCCAAACGTTGCAAAATCAATAAAGTCGATAAAGATGACCGAGATTCGAAGAACTAATCTTGTAATCGTAATCAGCATGCTCACCACCCCCTCCCCCTGTACAAACTCACAGTCCCTTAGCTCAAAGTTTGCAAAAAATTCAATAAAATCGATAAAAGTAATTAGTTTCAAAACTGATATTTTATTCATAATCAGCATGCTCAAATACCCCCCACCCTGTGCCATCTCGCAGTCTGGTAATTCAAAGTTCGCGAAAAATCAATAAAATCGATATCGATCGACAACGGAAAGAGCCTACGACATCTGTCGCGCCCCGAAATGTATGTGCGCAATCGTAGTAACTATGAAAGAATAGACAGATAGTAGATTCTAACAAAATGTAAGTGACTCCAAAAACTGAAACGGCTTTAGAAAGTGTACAGAGCAAGTTGTATCGTGATTTGACATGCAAAGGAGAGATGAGTAGCATAATGAACCTGACAATAATGAATTTCATTGATTGCTGATTTGCTGCCAAGTGGCTCCTCGCTCTGCTCACCGCACTGCTTGAAGCTGATTTCGGATACAACAGAACACTAGACTAAGTAGATGTTTACATCATCTAAAACAGGCGCTTGAATATTCTCAAGACTCTCTCTTAATGCAGAAAACTTTTGACAATCTCATGAGTTTCGACCCTACTATTATTCATATATCTGATAAAGAAAGTGATCGTAACTGTAAGTGAAGCATTCCTTTGTGCAAAACACCCATTACGGTAGTGATCACTTGCGCATTAAACTCGATCGCTGCATAAAGTATAGTGCTCATGGACATAACATCAAGACCCATCAAGAACACTTTTCATTGCACTTCGTCAACAGAGATTCAAAATGAGACATGCTGGTCATGTTTACATGTTTTTGTAGAGCTGGTTTGATAGCAAATGATATGAGCCTTTATCATTGCAGATGCTAAAAATCAATAAATCGATAGAAGGAGCCAGCGAACTCTAGTAAAAAGTATCCTAAACCCGTCTCCGGGGTTGAAAAAATCTGTATGCAAAGTTTCAGTCCAGTCGGTTGAGCGGCGCGCGTTTCTGTAACTTACATACCCTTCAAACAGAAAATTTTTGAGTTTTATATACATATATAGAGATAACCGAGGAAAATACGATCATGTTTTCAGCAACAATGCACAATGCCCCGTTGGCGGATGCGGCGCACCTTTGAACGAAGATGATGACTTAGAACAGTGTGAAGGTCCATGCCGCGCAATGTACGAGATTGACAAAATGGTTGCACTGCCTTGTTGTCAAGTAAGATTTGCTCTGATGTCTTGCAGGATTAGTTCCGAATTGGACTAGATCTAAATACGATAGAGTAACGGGATAGCAGCAAATGGAAGACATAAACTCCTTTCATATAAAGCTAAAGCTATGAGCGTCCACTCGGCAAGTGTGAAGAAACTACCAAAAAACTCGTCAAATAATTTTTTGCTTACAGTCAATAAACTCTCCAAACTTAGAAATCATTTCAATCAAATATCGCTGTAGTCAAACCAAGCATTTAACTCTTCGTTATTTTCACTGTTGACTGCACAGTAACAACTTTTGTTATATCATTAACAACATAAAAAGTTTGATTTAGGTGTATATGTGCCAGCCATGCGCAAAGAAATGGACTGAAGGAAAGGGAGTCTGCCCACCTGGAAAGTGCCTGTCTAAAGGTGGAGGAAAAGCCAGAAAAGGGAAGAAGACACCTGTCAGCTAATTGCTGTTATAAAACAACTTCGAATAGTACTATACATTACAGATCAAAACTCCCTGCTCTGGGCTACCTGAGTGCGAAGGTGAAGTTCTGCGAAACTTCCCATCTGAAATGGAGTGCGAGCATGAAGTTTGCATCAACTGCTTGGCAAAAGTCTTAGAAGAGTGTGAACGTAATAGTGAGTGCTACAAAGTGCACATCCTATATGTACAACTCTCCAGCTAGCAGTAGCGTAGAAATCTCACTATGATTTGTCATCAGTGGTGTTCACCTCCTGCTTAGAGCCTAACCTTGCCGTTGCGGATTCGACTTTGGCATAATAATTTTGGGAGGGTGCTACGTCTGTCGCAAATTGCGCGGCTTCTCAAAGAGCCAGCTGCCCGTGCGCGAATTTCAGAACTCCTCCGTCAAGCTGGAAAATGCATGACGAAGTGGAATGAAACATCAGTGGGAATTCCTTCGGTGTACACCTCACCCTCAAAGCCTCTAATCAACTTCCTAAACAGTGTGCATGTTGTCTGCCTGCACAAGTGCAGCTGAGAGAACTTGACTATAAAACGCTTCTGCTTTTCAGACTCACCTCCGGTCTGTCCAAATGAAGCATGTCGTCTACCCTATCGATGTGAAACAGTGCTGGCACTGAAAGCTTTGTTTCCTGAGAGAGCAGCCTACTTTAGTCGTTTTGACTTGGAGTCACACTACTCGATGGAAGCATTGAAGGACGATAGCATCACGGTATGTACGCATCTGCAATGATGTAGCTTAACTTCTGTACCCCAAGGTTCAACAGGTACCACTACTCGCTCTCTCACATCGCTGTCTTTTCTGCCTTTTAAACCTCAACTTCAGCAAATCTAAGTCGCTCACGAGCGAAACCCCAGAATACTTTCGAAGCGATGGTATAAGAACAAAGTATTACGTTGTCCGGAAATCAATGTCCGTTTTCGTTTTCAACCGCAATAATTCGTACATTTTCCATTTCTTGATAGGTTTCAAGATACCATTCGATAGAGCAAAGCAAGCTCTACAAGATGGCGGTCTTGCTTTAGCAACAGCTCTGATCCACCTCGAGTTTCGAGCCAAAAACTAATTTGTTTCAACTGCCCGAAAATTCGAGAAAAATCATACAGGGCTTTTCAACCTGAGAGTCGCAAGTTTCGCTTGCGCGGCTCCTCCAACGCGGCCGCCTCGCTCAGGCCGCGCGCGGCGTTTGCTGCGTATCGCCCGGATTTCGCCAAGCTTCAGTCGACGCGCAGCCAGCGCCACGAACGCTGCGCGGACACAAGCGTGGCGTCCTAGCGGGGAGGGTGGGACACTCAGGTTGTAAAGCCCTGTAACTCAGTTCATAAGAATCCTACAAAGATTCTAACTTGTTCACCACCATCAACACATCCACATAACACATATATGTACGCCATTGCCGTATTTATTCCTCTGTTAGAAATCGAGAAAACGGAAATTTTCGTGCATTTGCCAAAGTGCTGCTTGCCGTTCCCACATAAGTAGTTGTATACTACAAATCTATAGAAGTACAGACTTAAATTTTCAGCTCTTCACAAGCTTTAGTTCTCGAGAAATATCGAAAATAGCTTTCATTAGTCAGGTGGTCCAAGCTGAAATTCAAATTTTTCGAAAACTAAAGCTTGTAGAGAGCTGGAAATTTACGTTTGTACTTCTACAGGTTTGTAGTATACATCTACTTATGTGGGGACGACACAGCATCACTTTGGCAAAAGCATGGAAATTTTCGTTTTCTTGAGTTCTAACGGAGGAAAAATACGGCAGCGGCGTACATATATTAGGTCGTTCCAAAAGTAATGTCGATTTTTTCAAACGTGTGCCACATCTCGTGGAACAAAGATGTGTGAGAGATTCTGGTAGCATTTGATGCAGCATTTCATTCTCTTTCTAATGGTTATGAAGCTGCTGCAATACATTCAATGAGCTTCCAGAAAAGAGTCAAAATCTGCGACCTATGCCTTTTGAGATGGCCAAGTTTCACAATTTTTCTAAACTTTTATAACAAACCTCGGAAGGAGTCCAAGTAATGGATGGATGGAGCAAACCCTACAGGAAACAGCACAACTTTTTTCTACTTTTCAGAGCTCGTCGTAATTTTTGTACAGATTTTTTGATGGAACCACCGAATTTTGGCAGGCTCGTCTCAGACACAAATGCATCAGACGCCAACAAGTCTTCGGATTTTGAAACTTACAAAGATGGATTATGGTTTGGCAACAATTTTACAAATCAAACGAGCATTCCCGCTTCGGTTTAGCAACTTTCGAAAATTTCGGGTACACCTTGGAGTGCCTTGGAAAAGTTGAATTATGATGATTTTATCCCGGAAAACTTGATGAATCGGAAATAAAAAACAACTAATAGAAAGAGGAGAAAAAGCTGCGTCGAATGACACCCGAGTTGCTTGCCGGTTGTTGTTCTGTGAGGTGACTTGACTAAATATGGAATTTGATGGCATTGAGAAATTGATTGTGAAAACTCTGAGGAGCAAGCTAAGGAAAAGAAAAAATTACTCTGTGTTCTATAGTGTTTGCTCTATCTACCTGCTACTTGTACTTTTTCGGAGAATAGGTACAAAAATTTAGAAAAATAGCCGAACTTGACCATGGCAAAAAGCAAGAGTCGCAAATTTTGGTAATTTTTCGAGAGCTCATTGAACCCTATGCAGTGAAATTAGAACCATTAGAAAGAGGATGAAATGCTGCATCGAATGCTTCTAAAATCTCTTGAAAATGTTGATTCCACGAATAGTGGCGTTCATTCGAAAAAAGCGACATTACTTTCGGAACGACCTAATATGTCTTATGTGGATAGTGTTTAGGTAAGCAAGTTAGAATTTTTGTAGGATTCTTTTGAAATGAGTTATGATTTTTCTCGATTTTTCAGGCAGTTGAATCTTTTTAGTTTTTGGCTCGAAACTCGAGATGGGTCAGAGCTGTCACTAAAGCAAGATTGCCATCTTGTAGAGCTTGCTTTGCTCTATCGAATGGTATCTTGAAGCCTATTCAGGAATAAAAAATGTATGACTTATTCCGGTTAAAACCAAAACGGACATTAATTTCCAGACAACCCAATACATTGATTGTTTACACCACTACAATACAACTTGCTCTCCTCTAGAATAGATCTTCATCAACTCAAGCCGGCCAGCTTTCGCCCGTAGATTTATCGACTCTCAAAAACAAAATTATCTTGAACTTTTGGGGTTTCAGGGGAAGCAAGATTTTAGCGTTTATGCGTTTTTGATAAAATGTAGCTTTTCTCTACCCGCAAGTTTTTGGGCTAATTGACAACCACATATACTAGGGGACATAGCCGGGACATACGACCCATTGGTATCAACTTCTCGTGTCTTGACTGCCGATGGATCGTGCGGTCCGAAAGGTGGTCTTCTAATTAGGCTTCCCCCAGATGTCTCCAAACATGTGCGGACATCTCATGACTTCCATCGTAAATCCGTAGTATTAGTAGTACGAATTCAGAGGCGGGTCGTATGTCCGAAATGGCACTACACGTACGACCCACCGGTGGGTCGCATTGTCGTGAATGTGCTAATATGTGCACCACGAGTGTATACATAAAATGAAAAAAATATTGACAAAGTATTCTGTGCCAAACAGGTTTGTTAGGTGATCTTTATTAATCCAATCGAGGCCTAACGTTTCGACGCCTTCGTCTTCCTCAGAGGCCTGAAAAAAATAATTTGAATTTTTGAGAACTCCTAAAGAATATTCCAATTATATACAAGTATGAACAAATCTTGAACTTTTCTATAGCCTCCCCTTTCCCCCTCAACCCGCCACTGCTGTGTAGATACATTGAACATCGTAAAATGTATAATTTTAGGCCATATCTATACAAAGGAAAATTCCTTTGCGTAAAATATCGCTGAAGGTAAGCTGAATGATTTATCGTTGAAGAATTGACGTCTCTGCATTTCAAGGTGTGTTTCTGCGAAGATGAGGAAAATCAGTCAAATGTGGAGTTTGAGAGTTCCGGACCGTTATCGGATTTGATCAGAGAAATTAGAAGAGTGCTAAAAATCATGAACACTGATAAGGTCAGATTATTGCGGGAGTCTACCAAATCCTAGAAAAGTTAAATACAATCATTCTCAGAAAGTTGGTCATTGGTATCAGTATATAAGCGCGTAAAGGCGATTCCTCGATCACCGGACTGGTCTTCAGCGCTCTCGAAGCGTGGTGAAGCGTCCCAGAAGTTATAGTCGTGCTCTCGCGACCACTTTGATAGTATGCACACGGAGTGCAAAAGTCATAAGTCGTTTGAACCTCTGCCCCCATAAAAAGTAACAGTTGTTCTAAGAAAATCAAAAAAGATGTAAATTGAATAGCAAACGAGGAAACTCGGGTTGAAAGCGCTGCAATGAATTTCTGAATCCTTTTTTTTTACAGTACGTGTCGCAGATTTCGCTGAATCGCCTTTCAGAATTCCAAGAAAGCAAAGGAAATATTTTCTGCGATAGTCTCGAAAGCTCAAATTTTGAATCGGTATTCGATAAGAAAGATAAACAGAGAAAAATTAATCTTATCGGGAAGTTTTGTTCCTTCAAAGTCAAAATGCATGTCAAAGGCAACCTAATCTTTCATGCATCCCTTAAAGTTTTACCCCCGTATTGTTGTTCTTCTGCCCTGCGACGTCTGCACTGTTCCGTTCATCATTCTGAGCAAGAAGCTCCAAGCATGGATAAAGTGGTTGTGATTTCGCTCGAAGGAAGAAGTTTGAAGAAACCTATACACTATACTTAGGGAAATCCGAATTTTTTTTCGAATAATCAAATGTCGAATAATATTCGACAAAATTTCCGAGTATTCGACTATCGAATAATATTCAAAAATCGAGTATTTCGAACATATTCCACTTTCAAATATTATCGAAAATAGAAAATTTCGAAAATGCGACTGTCGAATGATATTCGAAAGTCGGAATTTTCGAATATTCGACTTTCGAATGATATTCGAATACTGAATATCGTTCGACTTTCGAATAGTATTCGATTTTCGAATGATATTCGAATATATCATGTCAGTGAGATGATGCCTTTGGAAGACCAAAACATCTAACAATAAGATAATTCTAAAAAATTAAAATAGACACTTTTTATGATTTATGATGGGAAAACGGGTTAGTGGTGGCAACAAGAAACATGAGTACTTGAAGCTTACTTCCATAACGGCTGTGAAGAAATTTCCAGAAATGCAAAAAATATATTTATTTCGAATCGTGGCGTTCTTGACTAGTGAAATCGAGCAGTTTCTGCTACAGAGAGGCTCTTCTTGCATACTGTTCAGCTTACCGCACGAGACATTTAAACATATGACCCCCATTCAAAGTTATGGATTGATATAGTGGATGTCCCAAAAGTATATAGAAACTATTAGGTTGTAAAGAAAGTTCTGCCAATAGACGTTGAGCTAAACTGTTTTAGTCATGGATGCTCTTTTTCAAGAAGCGCGCTGGCTGCCTTTTAAAACAGTCGGCGAGTTCGATTTTTTGACCCTTGAATTCAATGAGTTACTCCTTGCTTTCAAAAAGCCAAGGTATCAGGGCAAGTGATAGTCGGATAGCGCTTCATCTAGCCAATATACGGGGTATAAAACTGATTTTCAAATCAAGCTTTTGAAAGTTCTGCGCGTCCATATTCTGAAAGATGTGCCTTTTCGCAGACCTAAGCGCAACGGTTTTTCTCTTTTTTGGCATTTCTTCCCAGCAGATCGTCATTTTTCGAGATGAATAGCATGCTGGGTAGCTGGGGGGGCTCTCGCACACTAAGAACACATCTTAAACCATCCTTGCATTCATATTCATTTTTGGTAATTATGAAAAGAATTGGCAAAACTTTCTTTACAACCTAATATTTCGTTACTTTTCCTCGCATATCTTCTGCTGAAGTTAGGTACTATTCTGTAGATTTGCTTCAACTAGACCTACAGTATGAAACAATAAACGGATCGCACTTCACAGCTGTCAGATTATTCTGGAAGGACTGAAGAGGATTTTTGGGATAGTGAAGGGCCATATTTTGTCTGTAGGAAACTAAAAAAATCAAAAGCGCAGAAATTAGGGTATTCAAAGTTACAGAAAAAAATTGCATCCAATTGAGTTGATCTGTAAGTTATGTCAGGTACAGCGTAACAAATTTTTTCAATGTTTTCCAAAATGTGACTGCACCTCAAAAATCTCGAAAAATTCGTGAAAAGTTGTGTGGTAAAACCAGCATATGTAACACTGCTATACTAATCTTTGAATTTCGAGAAGTTCTTCCAACGGGTGATTTTGTAATGGCTCTATGTGCTAGAGATTCCTACCGTAATCCCGCAATAATAAGAGCTAAGGGCGATCCACGTTCTTCCTGCAGATGTGAGCTGGAGCGAGCTTTACCGAATGGCACCCCAAAGATTGAGAGATAAATTAGCGATCAAAGAGTGTTAGATATTTGAGACACTCTATATGCTATGGATGTCGAATTCTCAGATATTCTATGCTCAGCAAATTTTCGCATGGTCAGTGCATCGAATTTTCAAATATTCGTGCTCATCGATTATTCGAATACTCGATGAGTAATCGAATAATCGAATTGATGATCATCGAATATTCGACTATCGAATAACAATCGAAAATTGAGATTCGATTCTGTCCAAAGCATACTATACACTGGAAAGCCAGTACTAACGAGTGCTTGAAAAACCGAGGGGAAGCCAGACTGTAGAAAAAACAAGAGAATTCCGAATACATGTTTTTTTTGCCGGATTTCTCGCTCAAATCGAAAAATGGTGGACGGCAATGTTGCCAGCGATGAGTACAGTAAGTTTCGACCAGCTTTAGGCGGAAATTGGATTGGCGGGAGTCCGCCTCGCAATAGCTCGCGCCGTTTCGCAGCTACAGTATATCCTATCGTACTGAGAACCCATGTCTGCGTCTCTTCAATCTCCTTAGTCTTTGCTTGGCAAAATGCCAGCGATATGCGCTCGCAAAGCCTCCAGCGATGCGCATGCGCTGCTCCAGTAGAATGTCTCGCCTAATCCGGGATGAAACCGACTGTATATCAGTAAAGACAGAAAGCTAAGAGACGATATACCGTTTGCGAATTGGTTTGAAAAGTATCCTGTGTGCCCCAGAAAAGTTCACATGTTAAAGCGTGCGTAGTTGGTGCGACGCTGCTTTTCGCTCTTTTTGACACGTTTCTCCTGAGATTTCAACGGAACTGTCCGAGGTTAAAGGCAGCGTCCAGGCAGATATAAAGTTTCAGTGTACTCCCGTCCTGTTAAAACCCTTGCCCAACTGGCAGTGCACTAATTTGCTTCGCGAGAAAACCGCTTCAGAAGTGGCGACCGGGACGCCCCGGCGACCTGCCCGCCCCTTCAATCGATAGCCAGAGTACGGATATACTCAGACACTCGCTGCGGCGGCGCGCGCGCCTTATGCGTGCGGCCCCTCATGTCCCCCGCCGCTGGCCGTCAAATGGCGCGCGTGCCGCGAGTAACTGGAACGCGCGCCGCGAGTAGATGGCACGCGCGCCGCGAGTAAGTGGTACGCGCGCCGTGAATAGATGGAACGCGCGCCGCATGATAATGGCACGCCGCTCGCACGGTATGAAAATTGCCATTCGCATTTGAAGCACTGCGAATCACGGTGAATCTGTAGTAGACCTGTTGACAACCTTCAATTTCAGGCAAACAATGGCTTCAATTTCAAATATGAACTTGGAAGTTTCCAAACCTTGAATTTGAAAATTCAAATTTCAAAAATCCGAGAATTCAAATTTTCAAATTTGAATCTGAACTCGGCACCTACTCGCAGTGCTTATGAAGACTAACTCTCGGTGGAAGAACTGGAAGAATCCCACTTGTGTTAATGAGACAACTCCATTGCGAAACAGCGATAACCTCAATGAATTAGCGATAAAGTACCCAAAACACTGCGTCGTACTTCACGCGGGTATCGTTTGTGCTTACAGCGTGTGGGAATGCAGAAAATATCATGGCACGCGGCTCACTGATAAATTGCGCGCCGCTCGCACTCTCAACTAGGGCGCACCGTTCGCGATACAGTGCTGTAATGGCGCGCCCGCCGCCGCGCCGAGTGTCGAATAGGCGCGCCGGCGGCCGTAATAAGGCGCGCCGCTCGCTGGCTGCGAATGATGGCGCGCCGTTCGCACTGAAGCCTCAACTATGGCGCGCCGCTCGCACTGCTGCTTCAACCAAAGCGCGCCGCTCGCACGGCAGCCTCAAATAGCCTCAAATAGGGCGCGCCACTCGCACTGTAGCGCTATTATGGCGCGCCCGCCGCCGCAGCGAGTGTCTGAGTATGCCGCACATAGAAGGCGTAGGTTCCCAGCACGACTCTGCGTCTTAACCTCGGCGGCAAACTTCCATATTCAAAATCAACAGCTTCTAGAATAGCCCATTTTCGACATTTTCGTACTCTGTAAGCTGCATTTCCGCAATAAGCGGGAAGAATAAGCCCAGGTAGCGAAGAAATTTTTGTACGAAACTTTGCCCGGACGCTGCCTTTAACACATTCAAAAGAGCGAGCAGCAAGATGACGTGCTATCGTCGTCTCCCCGGAGTACGTTGGGCGGAGCTTTTGCGGACATTTCAACGCGTTGGAGAACATGTTAACCCTTTACTACAAGGCATTGTTTTTCGTGATCTCTCGCTGGCAACCCTGCCACGTGTGACAACAGCATATAAACGTGGCAGTTTAGAGAGTACAAAGAACCATGCTTTGCAGTAGAGGCTTTACAAGTTCATCAACGTGTTGAAATGTCCGCAAAAGCTCCGTCCAACGTACACCGGGGAGAGGGTGGAGGACATTAAGTCGCCGAATTTGGAAGAGTCCCGCGCGGGTTCCCTGCAGCAACGCATGTCCGCGCATGTACAAGGATGCGCATTTGTCGCAAATGACCGCGAGGACCGCCCTTTTTCGGCGACCTAATGTCCTCCACCCCCGGGGAGACGACGATACCTATGGGAATCTTGTGCTGGGAAACAAACGATAGATCCCTCGTGTTGTGGATTGCGTGGTCCTGGGGCGAAAACGTGCAAAGCAAAATGCCGCCAAATAAAAGATTCCGAACACATGGCAGCTATTTGTCCTGTTTTGAATAGGTGCAAGTTTCTTTTGGTTTTTTTCTAAATGTTGCATCTTTTTTCCTTCTCTGAATTTTTTCTGAACAATCTGCACATTAATAAAGGTTAATAGTGTAGACAATGGTGTTTTGGTTACAGGTTTATGGTTACTTCAAACGCGAAGGTGATGATGAAAAGCAACTTGATCTCAGCCCTAAGCTCATCCAAACTCCGGTAGACAAGATTGGGATCTCTTCGGTAAGTTACGAGACGAAGTTGTCAATCAATGTCCTGTTGTACTTTCAGGAATCTCTGATCCTTGTTGATATTACTGGAATCGTGAATAGCAAAGCGACAAAAAAGGCGGCCGGAGCAGCAGCTGCTGCGAAGGCATGAGCTGCTTACTTTTACATTGTGAGATTTGTGTAAAAAAGTGTTACAAAATTTTCTACTAGTTTTCAATGAAGTATTTTTCTTTTTCTCTGTTGTTCGCAATGGTTGACACATCAATCACATATCTTCATGAGTTAGTTCTGCAAGTTCAGTTGACATAGTTACAAATTTTGGAAAGCAGCTTCAAAAAGGACAGCAGTGGACCGCCGTTGACCATCGGCGATCAGTTGTTCATTTCGTCGATTTGTTCTCTGTCTTGCAACTGCCCAGCACCGTTTGTTTAACTGTCGCGGGTCCGCCGTCTATCACTTTCAAATCGGAAGTGGCTTTTGTTTCGAAAATCGCTGCGGAGCCAGTCAGATTTGTCCCAATTGTTTGTATTTACTTTTTTCGCTTTTTTATATACTTTTTTTGAACACCTGTGACTCCTTATATACCCATTCTATACTGCGATTCTTGCATTTGACTCTTTCCATATATGTAAGAGTTATAGATACTTGTCTGCCTTCCAAAGTGCTCACATTTAGAATTTACTGAGCACCGCTTTATAAGTGGAATACACATTTATTTTGCAATTGAAACGCACGCTTAGTCCAATTTCCAGAAGTTTCTGAATTTTTGTCAAAATATTGATTTTCAGCCCGAACTGCTCTTCGAACAAAAAGATATAGTACATTCTAAGTAATTGAATGATGTTGTTAAGGAGACTAGTGAATTTTTTGCTTCCGCAGTTGTCACTTCCTTTTGTCCTCGTTTTTTCGTATAGGTTCGTTCATAAGAATGACATTAACACAATATTTTTAAGAAAGTTTAAAAGTAGTCGTAATGCTGCAGTGCACTTCAAAAAACATGACAGCTGATAACATTTACAGACGGTTGCACTAAGGTATTCATTATCTTTTCTCGAACATTTAAACTTTGTAAGCATCAACAGTTTAAATCACCTGTTTTTGTCGGATTATCTTTACAAATGCAAAACAAATAATTTCTTATCAGCTCCAAAGGAAGTCACCAGAAATCGCTAAAACCTGTAAACCATCGGCTATCACTTAGCGAGTCGATCCAGAACTGCGAAGCTGCATAGATCGCAGGCTTAAAAAGTTCTCGCAATCAGGATATTCCTTGGTGGATGTTATGAGTGAAATTCATGTGCAACGATTTTGTCATAGAACAATGTGTTATGGAAGTTTGAAAAGAAAATTCTATTTTGTAGCAAAATTTTGCTGGAGTTGACGCATATTTTAACTATACTCAAAGAATTTTTATTTGATGCTGGTCATAACTATTCTTCAATTTTTGGGTCCTCTGATAGCAAATCAGAGAATCGCTTTGAATTTCCAGTCTGAGGTGGCAAAGCTTTTCCGCCGTTTGTGGTGACACCTGGACTGGAGCCACCACAAATACTTTGTCCTCTGCTTACATGTTGTGATGTCTCTAGTTTTGCACTTTCTTCCAAGCGCAAAGTTATGTGAATCGATCGTTGTGTAATATGAGCTAAAATGTTCCCGATCAGAGTAATATTCGTTTCATTCATTCAAATCTCTACCATACATCTATTTGTATTGGAATAATTTTCGTCATTTTGTAAGCGTACGTGCATAGGAATGCAAACGATAAAGCTGTGCTGTGAGAACAAGATATAATGCACAGATAAAGGATAGGTATGTTGTGTGAATAAGATCAATTGTTGCAGATATGAGGATGACACGCATTCTGCAGTATGATACATAAGCTGCATTCCTATGCACGTAGTTACACTTACAATTTTTATTCTTTTCCAGTGTTTTCCATTTTCATCGTTCATTACATTCACACTTCATATCGCATAATTGCTTTATTAATCCTTAACAGCTCTCTGGAACAAACCATCGCGACTGCATTTGGTTTTCTATCGAGAGGTCCGTAAATTTTGGTTTGATACTTTAAGGGCCGGGCATACTTCGAGCGATTTCAGTCGCGACGCGATTTGGCAATTCGCCAGAAGTCTTCAGATCCAACACTAGCAAACTGCACATGCATAGTGTGTATAACTTACGCGGATCGATAAGATGCCTTATTTTTTGTACATTTAGAAAGTGCTTAAAGTGAGTTAGCAGTTGTAATACTGCCAAATCGCGTCGCGACTGAAATCGCGTGAAGTATGCCCGGCTCTTGGAGATGAGTTGTTCCTAATTGCAGTTCTGAATGTTTCGTCTTTTACTTGGGTAAAATCATACGTCATCCTCGTTTGAACAGAATCTGCAGAAGTAAAATTAGCTTATTTTCGTTCACCTGTTTTTCTCTGCATTTTCGTTGCGGTCTCATAAAAAAAGCTCAGACGCTTGCATTCTGTCCGCTGCTCGCCTGCAACTGATCGATGGTCATATGCACGGCTACACACATGTGGCAATAACATCATTGTTGTAGGCGTTCGTAAACTTTATCTCATAGATTTTGATAGCATATTCACTCAATGCGATATTGTCTGGTTGCCGTTCGCGGTACTGTCTCTTCGTCCTCGACGCTCTTTTGCGCGAGTAATAGCTTTGCAGTATTTTTCATTTTTTTTCTCGGACCAGTAGCTTGTCAGTCTACAGATTGTTTGCCGAGACGCTTCATGTTTGTCAGTCTGAATTTTTCGCTGACTCATTTACTTTTTACTTCAGCGCAAGATTTGTCCGTCGTTCTGCCCAGTAACGCACGAATGAGATACGATCACTTATTTGCAAATAGTTTCTGATTAAAGTGCAATTTCTGGGTGTAATTCGGTCTTGCTTACCTATTTCATGCTATCAACATTTTCTTTTACTTCCTTCCTATTTTGAACTCTTCATTTTTGCCATTGATAGTTAGTTAAAAATGACTGGTGTGATCAAAGACTTTTTTCCAGCACAGAGTTCTTACCACCTAGCTGCGCCCTTCTTGTCTCTTCGATCTACACTGACATCGGTGAGTGCCATATTTTCCATCAGTTACTCTAAATTTCATGGTTTTCTCGTTTCAAAGTTATTCGTTATCACATGCTTGATCTATGCCTTTGCACGTCTCATTTTTTGCAATTATGGTGATGCTATGCGGATGTTTTGCAAATAATCATAGGAATGACCCAAATTAAAGGAAAATCTAGTTGTCATGGCCGAGCTTTTATAAATCTTGGTATTATGTAGTTTTGGTTTGCTTCCTCTTGCTTTTTTGGGGTTCTTGATAAAATTATCAGTTTGAAGTATGACCGTAAGAATTGAGATAATCAGTTTATTTGAACAGATTAGCGTAGCCAGCATCACAGAAAGAAAAGAGACCCCGAAAACCGCTCGGCCTCATTACATTGTTCTAGTATCTAGTATATGTGCCAATTTTATGCCATGTATCATTCATTCTAGGACTAGGAGACGCGAGAACGCATTGCACACATTGTCTAAACAAGCCTGATTATGTACTTAGCAGGTTTATACTTGTTATTTATCTCGCCCAGTTTTATTCACTTTTTGGAAACAGGAAAGAACAAACTTAAACTTGTTAAGACAATGTCCGCAATGCGGTCTCGCCTCTCCTCGTCATGGAATAGATGATACTCCTTCTGGCAGTAGTTTAGCACTTGCCCATCTAATCTAGACCTCTTTTTGTATCAAGCGTCAGTAGATCCATCTAGTATCCGAGAGTTTCATTGGGTTTACTCGCATTCAGTATAGTTGGAACCGAATATTCGTATTCGAATAATTTATTCGAAATATTCGACTATTCGAATATTCGAATATTCGAGAAAGTCCATTTATTCGATTGTTCGAATAGTCGAATAATTTATAAAGGTCTTTATTCGAATAATTCGTTCATTCGATGATTTCGAAAAATGACTTATTCGAATATTCGTTCATTCGAGGAGTTTTAAAAAACGGTTATTCGAATATTCATTCATTCGAGTAGTTTGAAAAGATAGTTATTCGAATATTCGAATATTCGAAAATTGCGTTCAAATATTCGAATAATATTCGAACATTTATTCGAAATTAGTCGAATATTCGATCAAGTTCGGTTATTCAAGTATTCGTTCATTCGAATTGTGGAATGTGCCAATATTCGAATATTCGAATTCGAATAAAATGAAAATCGAAAGTCGAATAATATTCGTTCATTCGAAAAACTTTCGAAAATCAAATATTCGATATTCATTCGTTCGAAAAAATTTCGAAAATCAATTATTCGATATTCATTCGTTCGAAAAATTTTCAAAAATTGATTATTCGATATTCGTTCATTCGGCGAAAATTTCTGTTCGTTACAACTATAGCATTTAGTGCTTTCGTTCGACAGTAGATTACAGCATTACAGCTCCTTTTCTTGAATTCCTTCCACATTCAATGCCTGACCAACTTTCATCCTCAGTATTGTTTTTGCTTGCGAAAATCATTTCTTTTAGTTCTCTTTCTTTACGCCAAAAATTCTTTGTTGCAGACGATTTTCAAAGCTAAGGAAATGTGAGCATTCATGCTGTCATAGCTCTATTGCTACAATCTTTTCCATTTGGCTGGCACAAACTGTCACTGTGCGCTGAAGGTCTGCACTCGGTCTGAGCAACTTCCTCAGTTTCGCTTTTGGTACAAAACATAGCGGCTCGGTCTCAAGAGACTTTCGGAGATGTGAAAAAGTTCTGTCTAGAGGGCGCCGCTTCCCTCGCCTTCGTTGTATCGTCTTGCCTCAACAATTGTCCTAATTTCTTAGAGGTCGCTCTCTATCGGTAGCCCAGAGATAGCTCTGGGCCCTCAGGTCATCCAGAGGACTGATGGCTTAGGCAAATGACCTCTTGGCGTTTGTGCATATCATATAATCACATCTGCACGGTATCATATCTATCATAGATAATCTTTCCATGCGCGCCGATTTTCAAGTAATTGAGACAAACTTGTAATTTTTGAGAAGGACTTGATTTTGTCTGCAAAGTTGCGATATTTCTTTTTGTCAAATAAATTTAAATGACCGGTACTAAGATATCTTTTGAACTCATGCTTATTTTCCTTGTTTACCTATTTCTAAGACTTCGCAGTTTCATCTCTAGGTACACCTCACTACAACCGATGCACTGGGAGACAATGAAGGCGACGCTGTATCTCGATGACGGTTCTTCTTTCATCGGACAGCTCTTCGGAGCGACGAAAAGCGTAGTGGGCGAGATAGGTACGATTACAGTTTTCTCATAGGCTCCTGAGAACATAAGAGTTATTTGATTTTCAACACAATGTTTTGATTTGTGAATAAGAACTTTTCAGACACAGTTTGTAGTACTTTTGAACACATCTGTTGTATTTTTCTGTATATTCTGTTTACTCTGTTTTTATAGTTTTCCAAACGGGTATGGTCGGATATGTCGAATCGTTGACGGATCCAAGTTATGCTCAACAACTCCTCACGTTAACGTATCCGATGATTGGCAACTACGGGGTGCCCAGCCATGAACATATCGATAAACATGGACTACCTCTGCACTTCGAAAGTGACAGAATCTGGCCAGCAGCTCTTATCGTAGACAGGTTTGTAGATTGCTTGGAAATCTGCACATGAACTTGAAAATTGGTTTTGTAGGATATGTGCTGAAAATGAGCATAGTCATTGGGAAGCGGTGGAATCGCTGAGCAGCTGGCTGAGATCAGCTGGAGTACCGGGTTTGGCTGGTATTGATATTCGGATGCTGACCAAGAAAATTAGAGAGCAAGGAACGATGAAGGCTAAGGTACGTGGTGTAACCTCTGACCAATGATTTTCATAAATTTAGCGTAAAATTTTTTTTAGCTCATAATCGAGACCGATGATCCTTTCAAGTATCAATTTCGTGATATCTACGAACAAAATCTGGTTTCATTCGTTTCGAGAAAGGTAGAAATTTCGAAACATCTTCCTTTCTGTCTAAAAGTGCTATTAACGCTGGAAAAAATAGTCTGATTTATCATCTCTAGAGTCCCGAAATTTTTGGTGTCGGTGATGTCACCATTGTTGCTGTTGACTGTGGTATGAAAAATAATCAAATTCGATGCTTGGTGGACCGTGGAGTACGAGTCAAAGTTGTACCATGGGATCATCCTTTTGAAACAGAAGGTAGCCTCTTACCAGATATGGAAAATACGTTGATCTAATATCCGGCTACATTAGATTTCTCAAAATAATTCTTGTGGGCTTTGAAAAGCGAATTAGTTGTGAATTCAGGAGCTGAACCGTAGGCGCTTCTTCCAATCACCTCTGTAATCTTCCTTTTCCAGCGTTTGATGGCCTCTTCATTTCTAATGGACCCGGTGATCCAGAGAAATGCTCTATTCTGGTTGATCGTCTCTCAGCTTTGTTGCAAACGACCAATAAGCCCATTTTTGGTATCTGTCTGGGTCATCAACTGCTAGCCCGAGCAGCTGGTGCGAAAACGTACAAGTTGAAGTATGACTTTTGTCTTCACATAGTGAGAGGTACCAGATACAATTGTTGTTTAGGTACGGAAATCGTGGCCATAACCAACCATGCACCCATGCGGATACCTGGAGATGCTTCATAACGTCGCAGAATCACGGTTTTGCCGTAGATGCTTCATCGTTGCCACACGACTGGCGACCTCTGTTCACTAATGAAAATGATACGACGAATGAGGGTATCGCGCATAAACAAAAGCCCTGGTTTAGGTGGGTAATTCCTTACTTTTGCTTCGCATTATTCCTTGGTGTGATTTGAAGTTATTTTTTCCAGCGTACAGTTCCATCCTGAACACACAGCTGGACCAACAGATTGCGAGTTCCTTTTTGATGTCTTCGTTGATGCAGTAAACTCGGTGAAGAAGGAAAAGGAATGCCTGTGAGCCTTTTCATTCAGTTGCGTCCAGCTGCTTAACAAAAACGCATAAGGATGCTGCCAGCTGCTTTGCGTTGCTCACCAGTCATCTGTTCCCTGAGTTTTTTGGCTTCTTTGAACGGACCGAAATCGAAAACAGTGGGTATTTTGGAAAAGAAGGCACAGTATCGAATGCAAAAATATGTAGGAAAAGTCAAGCAGACAGTTTTGTCGACATTTGCGCAATGCAAGCGCATTTATAGTTAATCGCTCATGGCCGTCGTTTTTATTTTGGTTTTTCTAGTGCAAATGCACAAAAGACGCAATCTGTAGCCATAGTCTCCCCTATTCTTAGTGCATATGCTTTTAGCGTCACTGATATGATAACGGGTTCGATCCGCTATGGATCTGATTATATCGTGAAACATCAGAGAAAGGTGTTGGTCTTGGGATCCGGAGGTCTTACTATAGGACAGGCTGGCGAGTTCGATTACTCGGGAGCACAGGTACGCTGAGCATGACCTGCATCAGGGAAAAAACCCTAAAGAATTTAAACTTCTCCAGGCTCTGAAAGCGCTGAAGGAGGAAGGCTTGAAGACTGTACTTATCAATCCAAATGTCGCCACCGTACAGACTTCCAAGGGTTTTGCGGATTTCACATACTTCTTGCCTATTACCAAGGAATATGTGGTCGATGTGAGTTAGGATTGATAAATGTAATTTTGCCGAGCCATAGGAGAAAGCTGAGCATTTAGGTGATCAAAAAAGAACGACCTACAGGCATTTTGTGCACATTTGGAGGACAAACTGCTCTAAACTGTGCTATCGATCTATATAAAGACGGTGTTTTTGAGCAGTACAATGTTCAGGTAGCTTGATTTTTATCACGCCTTTTTCACGACTCAGAATTAGAGGTATATTGTTTAGGTCCTTGGTACCCCTATCCAGACGATCATGAATACTGAAGATCGTGAAAAATTTAACGAAGAAGTCACGAGTATAGGAGAGGAGGTGGCACCAAGTAGAGCTGCCACTACCCTTGAAGGAGCGATTGAGGCTGCCGAATTGGTGAGAAGCATATATAGAGTAATAAAGCATCTCTATGAATTTTTTGCAGCTTGGTTACCCTGTGCTGGTCAGAGCAGCATTTGCTTTGGGTGGCCTCGGATCAGGCTTTGCTGACAACCGTGCGGAGCTGGTAGCAATTGCGCAACAAGCGCTGGCACACTCCGATCAAGTTCTGGTTGATAAAAGTCTGAAGGGATGGAAAGAGGTAATCTATCAAACAGTTTGAATCATTTATTACATGTCCGGCAGAATAGATTTTGGAGGAAGCAATGGATTTTTTTCGAAAAATAAGACTCTGGAATCTTTAGATGGTTTCAAAAATTTCTAAGAAATGTCTGCAGTCCTTAATTTGGAAAAGGTTGGGACGGCAGCAACGCTCCAATATCTGTTTGCTTTTCATTAGACTACATAAGTAATTCAACTAGCAGTCAAAAAAAGGGCCTTGCATTTTTTGGTGAGTGTAGAAAAGTGTAGATCACTTCTGGGAAAGCACTTTCCAAAAACCTCATTGCTCAATTTGTGTTTGTTGAAAGTTCAACAGATTCAAGAAGCTGCAGTTATTTTATAATGAGGTAAAGATGTGGTTTGCGAGAACTTGTAGGAATATTTTCCCTTACTGGTTGTTTATTTCTTTTTTTTTATTTAGATCGAATATGAGGTCGTGCGTGACGCTTATGACAACTGCGTTACGGTATGTAACATGGAGAATGTGGATCCGCTAGGCATACATACAGGAGAATCAGTCGTGGTAAGACTTCTACGAAACCTTTATGGATTCTGTGGTCTTTCCGTACTGCTGTAGATCAAAGTACCTGAAACAGTTACTGTAGTAACCATGAGGATTTAGGTGGCTCCTTCACAAACCCTGTCTGATAAAGAGTACAACATGCTGCGAACCTGTGCCATCAAAGTGATTCGTCACCTGGGAATCATTGGAGAATGCAATATACAGTACGCACTGGATCCTTCATCGCATACTGTAAGGCCAAAGTCCCTTCATCTGATTCATGTTTAATTTGTATAAACTTTAGTACTATATCATCGAAGTGAATGCGAGGTTATCGAGATCATCAGCGTTAGCCTCTAAAGCCACTGGATATCCGCTAGCGTATGTGGCTGCAAAGTTGGCACTTGGTGCGAGATTACCCATGATAAAGAATAGTGTAACAGGTTGGTGCTTCAAAACTTTTAGATGGGCGGGGTTTTCCCAAAAGCTTTTTAGTATGGCGGGGTCTCCTATAGTAGTTGCTGATCAAAGTGTAGTTATGAGCACTTGATATGTTTAGGAACGACTACAGCCTGTTTCGAACCCTCTCTCGACTATTGTGTGGTGAAGATTCCCCGCTGGGACTTGGGAAAGTTTGCAAGAGTGAGCCAACAGGTAAGAATGAGCTGAGTGAGCCATGTAAACTTGCGGCTGTAGAATCCGCATTCCAGATTGGCAGCTCGATGAAGTCAGTTGGAGAAGTAATGGGGATCGGGCGTTCTTTTGAAGAGGCATTCCAGAAAGCTCTCAGAATGGTTAGCGATCATGCCGATGGTTTTTCACCGTATACGTTCCCAAGGCAACCCACGGATGAGGTAAGGCATTTTGGACCTAAACTACAAAGGACTCCAAAAGTAGTTCATCCAATGTGCAGGATCTCGAGAAACCTACGGATAAGCGGATGTTTGCATTGGCCAGAGGAATGTATCATGGCGACTTTGATGTTGAAAAGGCTTATAAGCTCACACACATTGATCGTTGGTTCCTGTATAGAATGAACAATATAGTTGAGATTTACCATAAATTGGAAAAGGAAACGGTAAGGTTATCATTGCATCAAATTTGAATCATGATGGTTCACTTTTCCAGCTGTGCACTCTATCAGCGCAATTATTACTTGAGGCCAAACAAGCTGGTTTTTCAGATAGGCAGATTGCGAAGAAAGTTGGCAGGTACGATCTTTGGTTGCTTATTTCAAAGTCTGAATATATTATTTTTTTCGCTCTTCTTTGAGCGCTAGGGCATGGAGAGGAAATTTTCTGCATAAGTGAAATTTTTTAGCACGGAGTACATGGTACGTGAGCGTCGTCTACGCCTCAAGGTGACTCCATGCGTGAAACAGATTGATACGGTAGCTGGAGAGTGGCCAGCACAGACTAATTATCTGTATGTCACCTACAACGGCGTTGAGAATGATGTGGAATTCAATATGGTAAGTTTACGTCTGGCATTTGTCGTATTGTTTGGGGTTTTCCAAGTTTTTAGGTCTTCAAGTTTTTTTTTCCAGAAAAATGCTGTCATCGTACTTGGTTCGGGAGTTTACCGTATTGGATCATCTGTTGAATTTGATGCGTCTTGTGTTGGATGTGTCAGAGAGCTGAAAGCTTTGGGATACCAAACGATTACCGTAAACTGCAACCCTGAGACCGTAAGTTCTGTTCTTATAACGGGTATACCGTAATCTACAAGTTACCAAATTTAGGTCTCGACAGACTACGACATGTGTGATCGCTTATACTTCGAGGAGATCTCATTCGAAACAGTAATCGATATCTATCATATGGAGAGACCGAAAGGCGTTATCTTGGCATTCGGTGGTCAAGCTCCTAATAACATCGCGATGAGCTTGAGCAAGGCGCAGGTATTATTCCATGTTACTTTTCTTGAATAATGTTGAAGTTCAATAATCTACGGATTCTTCATTAATTACTTCAGCTGCGTTTTCTTTACGCTTCTTTCGTTTCCAAGACCTGCACTTGTCCCTATGTTTACTGCTGTCACTATATCTTACCTTTAGTTGACCATTTAGGTCAACATCTTTGGAACATCTCCCAATGACATTGATAGTGCTGAAGACCGCTTCAAATTCAGCCGCAAACTAGAGAGCCTTCAAATCACTCAACCCTTATGGAAGAAGAGTGATAATATTGAAGATGCAAAGGCAAGGACTAAGTCTTCTTCTTGCACAGTTTTATGATTTATGATCCAGCTCTTCTGCGCTAAAGTCGGCTATCCTTGCCTTATTCGGCCATCATACGTTTTATCCGGCGCTGCTATGAATGTGGCTCACAACGAAGACGATCTAGCTGCATTTTTGAAACAAGCTGCTGTGATCGCAAAAGAGCATCCTGTCGTGGTTTCGAAATTTATCAAGTAAGCGTATCCATGCAGTTTTTTGCCTCAAAAGTTCTCAGAATTCGTGTTTTAGTGAAGCCAAAGAGATTGATGTTGATGCAGTGGCCAAAGATGGCGAAGTGTTGGTGATGGCTGTATGTGAGCATGTAGAGAATGCTGGAACTCATTCAGGAGATGCCACACTTGTCACGCCTCCTCAGGATTTGAATCAAGTAAGTTTGGCTCGAAGTAAATTCCTCTTGGTCATTTGCAAAGCATTTTGATGAGCAGTTATGAAAATCTATTTTTTTAGGTGACTCTGGACAGAATCAAAGATATTACATACCGTATAGCAATTGCGTTCAATGTCAATGGTCCCTTCAACATGCAGCTCATCGCTAAGGTTCGTTCTCACTCAAACTGACCCTCAGTAGTTTATTGTATCGCGAATTGCGCTAGCTCCGCCTCCAGCGCAGGCCCCGCCCCTGATCCTCAACGATGTGATAACGTGATTTTTCAGGATAATGAGCTCAAAGTCATCGAATGCAATCTACGAGTGTCACGTTCATTCCCATTTGTTTCGAAAACTCTCGACTTTGACTTTGTGGCATTAGCTACACGAGCCATGATGTGCGTAGACAATCCAGCTATCGGCAGCTCGCTGAAGAAGCACGCGTTGTTACGAGGCAAAGGGCGAGTCGGTGTGAAGGTAGGACAGTTTGGAGCAACTTTCATTTTTTTCCAAAAAAATCTCTCGGCTCTGTAGGCGCCACAGTTCTCCTTTTCTCGTCTTGCCGGTGCTGACGTGATGTTAGGAGTGGAGATGGCCTCGACTGGAGAGGTGAGCCTCACTTTTTTGTTTATTTTTTCATCATTTCTTTTTTCTTACTTTTATTCTTATCGTCTGCATTATCTATAAGAGGTCATGCTATATAGGTGGGATGCTTCGGAAGTAATCGTCAGGAAGCTTATCTCAAAGCCCTACTGTCTACTGGTTTCACCGTGCCAAAGAGAAACATATTTTTATCAATAGGTGGATATCACGTGAGTTCCTGCATTGGAACTTTTAGCTATAGGTGACTCTAACTTCGTTTCAGGCCAAGTCTGAGATGCTAAGAAGCGTTCAAATTCTGCAGAAGCTAGGATTTGACCTCTTTGGGTCTAAGGGGACAGCTGATTACTTTCAGTCTAACGATATCAACATAAAAGCTGTTGATTGGCCATTTGAAGAAGGATCAAGTGATGAGAAAACAGGAGCGGGAACAAGGTGACTAAGAAATTTGGTTTTTGATAATTCATTAGAACTCATAACAATATTTGTAGATCGGTGGCTGAATTCTTAGATAACAAAGAGTTTCACCTAGTGATCAACCTACCTATTCGTGGATCTGGTGCTTACCGTGTGTCAGCGTATAGGTATGTTACTTGGCTATGTCAGATTCATTCTGAATTTTATAGCGCACATGGCTTTGATTATTTATTCATTTATCTATTTCTATTCCCTTATCTACCTTATGTACCAAATGCTTTATTATTCTAGAACACATGGTTACAAAACCAGAAGAATGGCGATAGATAATGGAATACCTCTAATTACCGATATCAAGTGTGCAAAGTTGTTCATCGAAGTGAGTTCCAGTAATGGAGAATACCATTTTTACGTATTTTTTCGTGTTTTTTTTCTTTGTTTAAAAGTCACATTTCTTTTATCGAGTTTAAACTCTTGCAGCAGCGAGAGCCTTGCGCAAATTCAAGCGTTCGCATTTCAGGCCCTGAGAACAGTTGGCCCGCTCCCTTCAGTGAATTCACAGATCGACTGTATAGCCAGCAGAAGTTTGAAACGGTTGCCTGGGCTTGTCGACATCCATGTGCATGTCAGAGAACCTGGAGCAACACATAAGGTAGTATCCATACCCTACCATGCAGTTATGCTCAATATCCGATGCCTTTTTAGGAAGACTGGACTACATGCACGAGAGCAGCTTTAGCTGGAGGAATAACTCAAATACTGGCCATGCCCAACACGAATCCTCCTCTTACCGATTTGGAGACTTACCAAATGACAGAGAAGGTTTACAATGAGCTTCCACATAATTGAGCATTTCATATTTATATCAGCCTTCTATATTCCTTACTAGCTGGCTTGCCCGGCTCCGCCGGGCCTGCCAGCTAGACCCGTGTACGTATGTTCCAAATAGAAAATTCCATTTCTGAACCGATCCGGACCAAACTTTGCACACATACACTTCGGGCCCCGGCGGGTGTCACAGTCCACTTTTCGTTATCGATCGATGTCGATTATACCGATTTTTATCGATCTTTTTTGCAGAGTTCACCTACAGGGCTAGGAGTTGGCACAGGGGGGAAGTGAGCATGGGGATTCCGAACACAATATTAGTTTTCAGAATTATCGATTACTTTTATTGATTTTATCGATTTTTTTGTAAATTTTGACCTGCGGGGCTGGGAGTTTGCACAGGGGGGTAATCGAGCATGCTGATTACGAACACAATATTAGTTTTCAGGATCGTCCATTACTTTTATCGATTTTATCGATTTTTTTTGTAAAGTTTGACCTGCGGGGCTGGGAGTTTGCACAGGGGAGTAATCGAGCATGCAGATTACGAATACAATATTAGTTTTCAAGATCGTCCATTACTTTTATCGATTTTATCGATTTTTTGAAAATTTGAGCTAGGGGGCTGGAATTTGGCACAGGGGTGTAATCGAGCATGCTGATCACCCCCCTTGGGGATGATCAGCATGCTCGATTACCCCCCTGCGCCAACTCCCAGCCCCCTAGCTCAAACTTTGCAAAAAAATCGATAAAATCGATAAAAGTAACCGATAATCCCGAAAACCAATATTGTATTCGGAATCCCCATGCTCGACTACCCCCCTGTGCGAACTCTCAGCCCCGTAGCTCAAACTTTGCAAAAAAATCGATAAAATCGATAAAAGTAATCGATAATCCTGAAAACCAATATTGTATTCGGAATCCCCATGCTCGATTACCCCCCTGTGCCAACTCCCACCCCCGTAGCTCAAACTTTGCAAAAAAATCGATAAAATCGATAAAAGTAATCGATAATCCTGAAAACCAATATTGTATTCGGAATCCCCATGCTCGATTACCCCCCTGTGCCAACTCCCAGCCCCGTAGGTGAACTCAGCAAAAAAATCGATAAAAATCGATAAAATCGATATCGATCGATGACGAAAAGTAGCCTATGACACTCGCCGGGGCCCAAAGTGTATGTGTGCCAAGTTTGGTCCCGATCGGTTCAGAAATGGAATTTTCTATTCGGAACATACGTACATACAGACATACAGACAGACATACAGACAGACATACAGACATACAAACAGACATTCAGCTTTATATATAAGATTTTAGCTAGCAGCAAAGCAAGCGGTCGTTGATTATGCGCTTTACGTTGGCGCCACCCCTCGGAATGTTCGCGTAGCTGCGGATATGGCTAGTATGGTAGCCGGTCTAAAGTTATTCCTAAATCAGACGTTCTCCACTCTGCAAATGGATTCTGTATCAGACTGGGTCAAGGTAGCTATTCACCAAGTGTTTTTCGTAATTCACCCAATTTTTTTGTAGCACTTCGAGTCATTTCCAAGCTCCAGACCAATTGTCTGTCATGCCGAGAAACAAACTTTGGCAGCGGTGCTTTGTGTAGCTCAGATGGCTGGACGCGCAGGTTTGTGATTGAACTGTCAGACCATAAACTTTGTAGCTTAAGCGATATATCTATTTTCTGTGCACTGCATATCTGCCATAACTTCGTAGCTTAATCGATATATTTTTCTTTGCAGTGCATATCTGCCATGTGTCGAATGCTGAAGAGATACAGCTGGTGAGAAATGCGAAGAAAAAGGTCAGTCCAGTTTTTAGTCATCGAAGCAGACAGATTAAGGAAACTTTAAGGTGCTGTAGAAAAGCTTATCTCAAACCGCTTTATTCCGGGACTTCCTTTTTTACAAACGGACTTACAAACTTTTATCATTTGAAAATTATTCAGGGTTGGCCAGTGACTTGTGAGGTTTGTCCACATCATTTGTTTCTAACCAGTGAGGATCTACCTGAAGGCCTTAAAGAGGTAATTACGGCGAAATTTTTTAGAGTAGCTTTTTTGATTTTTTGCCTGCATTAAGGTTCGTCCGCGGTTAGCCACTGCTGCTGATAGAAAGGCTTTGTGGGATAACCTTGACTATATCGACTGTTTTGCCACTGATCATGGTAAGATGCTCATGTCTGTATAGGAGCTGAGTATTATTGACTAGCTCTTATAGCACCACACACCTGGGCAGAGAAAAGTGAGTCCGACAAGGTGCCACCCGGTTTCCCCGGTGTTGAGTTCTTGCTACCGCTGATGTTAACCGCAGTCTCGCAGGGAAAGCTTACTTTGAGGTACGCCACCAGTTTCGCATACTGGACGGGAATTACCGAAAAAATTGAAATTTGGGCGGAAAATTTATGTTATAGACAGCTTGTGGATCGTCTTCACAACAACCCCAAGAAAATCTTTGGTTTACCTGATCAGGAAGAGACTTATATCGAGGTGAACTAGTCTTTGATTTACTTGAGGAGGGGAGGAGGGAGTGTAGAGAGAGAGCAGATCAGTTACCCTGAATGATTAGTTTAGGTGGACATGGATGAAGAGTGGTTAATTCCTGATCATGGAGGCCACAGCAAATGTGGATGGACGCCATATGCTGGCATGAGAGTTCGTGGAAAAGTGCAGAAAGTGGTCATAAGAGGCGAAGTGGCATTTGTTGATGGAGAGGTTAGTTTCTAGAGAGTTTTTGAAGCAGTTTATTAAGCTGATCGGATTTTTTCAAAGCGAATCGCTGCATCTGATTATCTTGCAGATTATTGTTGAGCCTGGGTTTGGTAAGAACATGAGAATCTTACAAGCTTCACCACTCCAAAAACTTGGAAAAGCTGGTTCTAGCAATGGTGGGTTTTTCTAAGATTATTGATAGATATTGATCGCCGGTTTTGTAGAACTGGATCTGGACACAAGTATAATGGGAGAGTTACATGTATCCACTGAAGATACAAAGCCGGATAGAAGCATGAGCAGTGATAGCACGCCATCACCAGTGCCCATGCTTTCTACCACCCCGGGGGCAGTATCCCTTACGGGAAGCCATTTGCTAAGTGTGCATGATTTGAGCAAAGCAACGGTAAGAATTATCGATTTTGTTGATTTATCACTTCTTTGGATTAAAAATTAATCTCTTTTTTGTTCTATTTCATCCTGTTTTAATTTCTTTGTATCTGCATTTTCGTGGAGCTCTTCTCATATTGGATTGAATTAACTTTAACAATCACTTTCCAAGATTAATCGCATCTTTGACGTTGCGGATCGTTTCCGAAGTGATGTTGAGCGACGACATTCGCTTACTCATGTGCTAGAGGTATCCATAGCCATCTATTTTCTTAAACTCACCTGCAAATTCATTGTTTTTCAGGGTTATGTGATGGCTTCCATGTTCTATGAGGTATCAACCAGGACTGCAAGTTCATTCTCAGCTGCTATGCAACGATTAGGTGGAGCTGTAGTGCATATGGACAGTCACACGTCTTCAGTACAGAAGGGAGAAACTCTTGAAGGTAAGCGAATTACGGTTTTCTAGCGCTAAAGTGTCAAGATTATCGGTTCTTGTAGATTCTGTGACCATAATGTCGAACTATGCCGATATCGTTGTACTGAGGCATAACGAGACTGGCGCAGCTGCCAGAGCTGCCGCCATCTCTTCCAAGCCAGTAATCAACGCTGGAGATGGATCTGGAGAGCATCCGACACAGGTAAATTAATTCTTCACTGTTTTGTTTCACTCCCAAATTTTTGTGGAGGCGGTCTCTTATGGAAAGTGTTCGCGGGCTTGTAATCCTAAAGTTACTAAACACAGAGGGTTTCAAAAATTTTTATATTTTCATAGGATTTAGGACATTTCACGAAAAACAAGCCATTTTTCACATTCCAGTAGCTCACTTCAAACGTTTCGCGATATCGTAGGGGAAGTGGGAGGGGGAGAATCTCTTTTCGCCGCTGCCTCTCTATCGGTTTGACTTTTGGATATGGGTGTTATTTTTATGAATTTAGGCTCTTCTGGATGTGTACACAATCCGACAAGAGATCGGAACGTTGAATGGAGTTACGATAGCCATGGTTGGAGATTTGAAGAACGGTCGGACAGTGCATTCCTTAGCGAAACTGCTATGCGTCTACAAGGTGAGATTGATGAACTGAAATTTTGCGAGGTTTTTCAAAAATAATGGTCATTCTGCCAGAAAACATCCTTTGTTCCAGGACATCACTCTCCATTATGTCAGTCCCGTGCCAGAACTCAGAATGCCAGAGTCAGTAATTGACTATGTTGAAAGGAAAGCTGGATTCACTCAGGTTAGAGCACATATCTTCTCGTTCCTTGTTTTTCTTTCTTTCTTATGATTCAATATTTTTTTCATTCTCCCATATCTTAAAAAAATTCAGAAAATCTTCACCTCCTTACCTGAAGGCATACAGAATGTCGATGTGATCTATGTGACAAGGATACAAAAAGAACGGTTTGAGAGAGAGGTAAGAATTGTTTCCGTGTTATGTTTGAGACATTTTATATGGTTTCCCCAAATATCAAAATGCAGGAGGACTACAACAGAGTGAAAGGAAGTTATATACTGACGGCGAAACTGTTGAATGCCGCAGCGCGACCGCAAGAGTTTGGTGGCAATATTCTAGGTCAGTTCATGGTTTCTTGGAGTCTTTTGTATTTTTTGTATTGCGATTTTACTTTGTCCATGCGAAGCTATAAATCTCATACATTGTGGATAAACAGGAGTTATAGGCTAGTATATCTGCTCTGATTGAATATACTCTTCTTTTGCTGACAGCATGCGCATGCAGAAATTGCCAATGGGCTTCAAACTTGGGAATGTGTGCTCTGCGGCTATTCTGCATGTGCTAATTGCCGGCATTACAAGCGTAGCAATATGCTCACGCGTAAATGTTGTCGGCAAGTGTGGGCACCGCGCGAGCACTATATTTACCAACAAATCTAATAGGCTATGCTTATTGTGCTATAAATACCATTAGATTTGCCCATAATGCTTCTTACTGTTAGTTCTAAGAAAATATGTTATCGAAGTTCTTCACCTAAGGGTTAACTGGGAGAAGATAATGAAAAAGAGCGTAGTCACCAATTTGATAATCCTTTAGGACCCAGCCGAAACTTGCCCATAGTCCTACATCCGCTTCCACGAGTTGATGAGATTAGCACCGAACTTGATCGTGACGATCGTGCTGCATACTTCCGTCAAGCTAAAAACGGAATGTTTGTTCGGATGGCGATCATAGCCATGTTGTTGGGAAAGGCGCCATTTTGAGCCTGTCTTTGAGTTGTTTTTTTGTTCATTTTTGCCGTTTTTTTATTATACTCGCAGAATTTTTGAAAAATAACAAATAATCTCAGAATGTGCATTATGCCACTAATTTCTGCCATTTCTCTACTAATTTGTTTGTAACTTTCAGTTGTTTTGTCAAGTTTGTTCTTTCACCCGTTGATCAAGTTGTTCAAGTTGTTAATTGTTATCATACAGTCTTGTATAGTATAAATTGTTTCACTAATCAAGTCTCTAAGACGCAGTATCAATTATCGCAGCGATTTCCCGGTTTCCTACAAGGGTTGAGAATTATTGAGACCACAGGCTGTGTCAAACTTGCACCCTTTTCTAAAGGTAACTACGTCGCCAAAGGTTTCGCGTCGCGTCGCGTGCGCATTACTTGGGCTCCCAAACTGGGGGCATGAAACAGAGAACTGCACAGACCTCAGTATATGTTATTCTTGCTATAAATAGAATCGATGCAGATTTACCTACTCAACCATGCTTGTGAAAATGAGAAAATGAGTGACATGTTAGATAGAAACAGAAAATCGCTCAAAAAAACTTTCATCGAAAAAATGCATAAAAAATTTTTTTTACTCTCAAATTGTAAACAACGCAAAATTCCTGTTTTGCTGATAAGGCGGTGTCGCGCGAGCGTCTACAGCTGCGACTGTCAAGCGCTGGCATATATATGATCAATAAATCGATTGATAACTAGACCGTTGCTGTACGTGGAAGAAGATGGTAGATATAGGTCGTTTATAAGATCGTGACGACGGTTTGACTGCGGTCTTTGCGCCAGAGCAGCAAAAAACCCTCATACAAAAAGAAATCACATCTCTAAGCTCAATCACTTCCAATGAATAAATACCGTCATATGTGAGGAGAAAAAACATTCGAGCGGAGATGAAAACCAAGAAAGTGCGGTTGCGGTGAGGTGCGTGCGTGTCGCGCGCGGTCGCGCCATCGTCACGATTTTCTGAATACCCTATGGATAAGCATAGCGTGATTTTAGGTGCGCATGAAATTGTTTTTTTGTATTAGATTCCGTATCAACGTTTTCTCTATCTTTTCAACGAAAAATAAACTGATCTCTGATCTTGCTTACGTAAACTAGTGCCAAAGTTCATTGAAATTCAAAAGTACAAGATGTATTCCTTGAAATTGGTACATCTCTATAGACTCTAGACATTGCATACTATCTCTACTCACCCAAACAGGTTTTCTCGTTTTTCTCACCACTGATTCGTGCATGATCGTCTCCGCTAGATCAGATATGTTCTCTCTTTCTTGTCATGCTTATACGTTCATATGTACTTTTCCACGTTATCTGATTTATTTTTCTACCATACGTATAGTATTATGGTTACCATTCACTACTCACATCGTAAATTCATTTTTACATTGATTTTCTGTTTTTTTTTTCACGGAATAGTAGAAAATCTACAGTATGGTTACCATCTACTATCCACATCTTGAGTTCATTTTTACATTGATTTTGTTTTTTTAATGTTTTTTTTTCTTTTTCTTTTCTGTCTTTTTTGTTAAAGTAGTAGTAAATCTGCCGTGTAAAATTTTTTGATGGGGGGGGGGGGTATAGGGAGGGGGATAGTCTGCTCTTCAACTTTTAGGTGGAAATCTCGAAAAGTACTGGCAGAATACCGTTATCGTCTTTTTCTGAGAAAAAGATTGAGTCATGAGAAATTTTTACAAAGTAAAGGTGGTCCTGATAAGAGAAAGCTGTAGGGAAGAAGTAAAAATTAGAGGTCATTTGGCGTTCTGGAGTAGATTATGAAATACCTGGGGGAGGGGGGTAGCTTAATTTTTCAAAGCAGCTTTTTCTATGGATCAAGGGGTTTGGGTCCTTCATCTTGTAGTAGCTTTTTATGAATTTTTGATGGTGAATTAAAATTTTTTCAACAAAAATTCTTCTGCTGCAAAAATTATGTTCTTCACTGCCTTTATTAAGCCTTCTTCAAATTCTTCGTTTTCCACCGAATTTTTTCTCCGCTAGTCATTTCCAGAAAAGGAAAACTTGTGTAAAGTGTGCAGATTGCCGCTTGCTAGGAAGTTGTTCTGACAATTATCTCACTGTTATGGAAGCATTTCTTTGTCCAATTCTTTCTCGAAGAATCGATTGATTGAACTGTTACAATTGTGAACTAGTTCTAAACACTAATTCACATTGTACTTCTTCATCTTCATTTTTTCCCTGCACTCATTCTCTACCTAACTTATTGAACAAATCCACTTAGTCATTTTTTTTCATCCTCCTGAAGAGCGATTCGTTTATTGATAAGTATGAAGTCATTACATTTGCTAAGTTTTGAAAGATACGTGTGTTATGTAGTAATTAATTGTTAAGTAATTGTTTCAATGACCGCAAATTGTTCACTGCTTCGATCGTTACTGACCTATTTGTTAGCCTGTAACAATTGTTGAGGAAGCAATGGGTGAGGAGTGGGACAAGTATAAGGTGTAGAGTTCTGAGGCTTTTTACAACGTTTGCTTTTACAAAAAATAAAAAGAATCAAAGCTATAGAGAGTGCCGCAGAGATTCATACCAGTTCAGCGAAATGGTTTTGTTACCTTTGTTTTGAAACTGACGAACATGCCCAGGTTTAATATGATAAGGGAGCATAGTGGTTTTGCTAGTTCTTTTTCAATTGTCTCATATTCTCATGAATTTCAAAATCATGCCACTAGCTAAAGGGAATTGTTTTTGTGGAGCGTGACTATGATCAAGCACCTTTTCTCGAAGCTTCAAGCCGATAAGCTCGTTTAAGTTGAGAACCATTCCAGAATTTTAGGAGCATGCCAAGTGAGAAAGTTCTCTCAATGCCGCCCATTCCAGGAAAAAATCGTGGACCTACTAGAATCTAAATATTTATGAATATGTCCTCATGACAGTGGCTGTCCGAGGGGGGGGGGGGGCGGGGGGGGCCGAGAATGGGTCGCGAAATTTCTGAAGGTTACCTATATGGGCTATAAAAATGTGCAAACAACTTGTTTATTTTTGTAAATAATTAAAATAATTTTTAAAATTTTTTTAAAAATTCAAATTAGCCTTACATAAAAAATTTTTTTCGGGGGCATGGCTCGGAGTGCGTGGCTGACGCCACGCACCTTCATTTTAAAAATTTTTTGTCGCCCCCCCCCCGGTCCGATATCCTGGGACCGCCACTGCCTCATGAGTATACCTTTTTTTCCACACAATGCAAGTTATAGATGTAAATATAGTAGGTCACCTTCCGGTGTGATTTATTTATTTATTCATTGAATGCTATCAATACGCCAAAGGAACGTGGTTATTACAAAATAAGACATCTAACACAATGTCAACATATGTATAATCATATGCATGATTTATATTATGTTTTATGATTTACAGGTTAAAGCTGGTACCATATTGAGTGCGTCAGTCTGTTTGTATCAGTTAGCTGCTATTAGATGAAGTGGTGGCTAGTCGAGAAAATAGTCGAGAAAAAATTAATAGCTCAAATACATACTATCTTCTGAGTCAAAAATTTACTCTACTATCAAATCTGTCCATCAGTGGCAATCTGAGGAGACGTTTTCGCGTTCAAATTTCGAATTTTAAAAAATGTTAAAAAATTATTTGAATAGTTACACATCTACCCAGTTTCATAACTCATATAAGTACTTTCGGAAATTTTGCCGCACCCTTTTCACTTTTTTTGCTTTTACTTCCATTTCCAGCCTTCCAACTTACTCATTTTTTGAGTCAGTATATATAATGAAGTTCTTTTAGAATCTATTTCGTCCATTACCTGTCTCTCCAAATATGGTTCTTCATAAATTACTTAAGCAAAACGAGTCTTTAGGACTTGCGCCTACAAAACAGGACAAGTTTTGTGTGAATCGCCTTATCATCGTTTGGTCGTAACGGATCATTCATTTGGAAATGAATTGATTTTATTTGTTCGAACGTAGAACGTGTTCTTTGCAGTGGACAAAACAGGATTGAAACTGCATTGTAGTTATTGAGACCAAGGTTTCTTTCATGACAACTTTTTTAGGACCATTTTATCTTGTGTTTTGTAAAATTGTGTTCCATACTTGTGTTAGAACCATAATTATTTCATTTTCTCGATTTTAGTTTCTGCATATTCGCTCCTCTATTATCATCTAAGATCCATTCATTCATTCATTTCTCACTCCATTTTTATTATTTCACAATTTTTGTCAATTATTCTGATTTTTATTTATTCATTCTTATCAGCGATACAAGAGATCCGTCTCCCTTCGTTTATAAATTGGTTGGGACATTTTCATACTTTTCATTTACTGAATTAACTCCATACTCCTGCAGTAATGTACCTATTTTCCGCAAATTTATTCATCTTTACTTCTTAATTTATAATTTTTCATCTTCATTTTCATAGTGTTTTTCATTTACTGATATAGTCTTTTATTTTTTAGTGCAAGATCATCTACGTAACTACTTTGCACTTATTTCTATATCTATATAGCAGTGCGGTCTCAGGATTTCTACCGGGGGGGGGGGGGCAAAAATTTGTTTTTGCAAATGAGGGCGCGTGGCGTCATGCACTCCGCAAAATTTTTTGGGGTGCTTCAAAATTTTTGCGGACCCGTAAACCATAAAAATCCGCGAAGAAACTTTTTTACGACGCTAATTTTTTTGAAAAATTTAGAAAATTATGTAATGCAAAGGCAATTGCACATTTCTATGGCCCATATAAGTGAATTTCAAAAAATTCCGCGGCCCATTCTCGGGGTCTTCCCTTCCCCCCCCCCCCCCCATCGGTCCGCCACTGCTATCATCTCGTATTCCACATTCATAATCACCTAATCAGCCAGACCTCATATTATAAAAAATTTTTTGACAAAAAATCATTAGATATCCGTAAGAAGAAATTGTCCAGATGAACTCCTTCGGTTTTGAGCGGCCTCGGCTGGCAACTGGTCTTTTTGCAATGTATTGCATGTCGTTGCAGGACCAGTAGTCCCCGGAGGCGACCTAAACTGGCGGAGTTCGCTCCTCCGCCCAAATCGTCCTAATCACTCGATGATCATGATTACGTCACATATCATAGATCCTTTCGCCTTTTCACCTGAGAAGATCTGGTTCATCGATTATCAACCGATTTGTGTTTGCGCGTCTCAGTTGTTTTTCTGAACTTTCCTAATCGAATTTTGGTAAAGTTGACAGTGACAGTATATTCGGGTTGCTTACCATTAGTCTCATTTGGAAACGGGGTGGAAGAGGGGGGGGGGGGGGAGAGAAAGTAACCCATGAAATGTACCATTACTGATCGATGTGCTATATCAACGTATATGTCATGTTTATCATATTGTCAATGAAGTGCGTTTTTACAGTGGCCGGTAAATTGACGGGTTGACGTCATCGTAGGGTATCAGTGATGAGCGGCGGTGCCGGTGTCGATTGGCATGATGAAATGGATATTCCTAAAATGGAGCTCCTCAATGCCGCCTATGAGGGTAACATCACGAAGGTAAGAAAGAAGGGGGGGGGGGTGGGCATTGAAGAGACAATTTTCGATATTTTCGTCTTTGTTGTTCAATTGAAGGTAGAGCATATGTTAAAAAGTTTCTAAAGTTGTGAAAAGAACATCATTTTGTAAATATTGCTTAACTACTCAAAAGAAGAAAATTGTCAATTATTTATTAATTTCAAAGGTTCCGACTCACCACATAAAAGCAATCAATTATCGATAGCCCAAGAAATGTCACTAAAGCCTTCTATTCATTCTTAAAACTTCTAAAAAAATGTTTTTAGGTGGCCGAGCTGCTCCGAATGGGTGTAAACATTGATTCATGCGACGACGATTATGTGACAGCTTTACAAATAGCCGCTTTCAATGGCAACAATGCCATGGTCAGTCTTCAGCAACCGTGCTGCAGTTTGCAAATCGCTCCGCCCGCCTAGACTCTGTTTCTCTGCGTCCTCTCCTCTTGATCGCATGTCATAATTGAAAAGTAGTATTTTCGTAATACTTGAGTCTTTACGAGTAAATTCTTTCAGTTTCGTGATTTCACTTCAACTTTTTACAATTGATTAAAATTGAGGCGGAGCAAATTGCAATTTGCGGCGGTGTTACAAGATTCGCCTCACTACGTAATAACCTTCTAGGTGACTTATTTGCTTGATGAAGGAGCAGATCTAGAAGCTTGCAATCAAGTTGGGATGACACCATTTCATCATGCTTGTCGAGAAGGAAAAATGACCGTTGTAGAAACATTACTACAACGAGGAGCTGACATACATCGAACTACGTAAGTCCAGTCCATTTTTGCAGTAGGATTGGACCAATCACAGAAGTGAGGTACAGTACCTGGATGGGCTCGGGTAGAGGACATTAGATCGTCGAAAGGGAGGTCCCGCGCGGACATTCAAAACAGACCACGCTCCTTCACTATTACGCCTTGTGCCAGCTGCCCGCGTGGGCGGAGCCTATCACCTAATGTCCTCCAACCGATGGGGACTGTAGCAATAAGGAAAATCTTTTCTTTTGATTCAAAGCATTTTTCTAGATATATGGGTGCAACTGCTTTGACATTGGCAGCAGCTGGAGGTAAACCTTATCTGCAATTCAAAAATTCAAAATATTTACAGAAAAAATTCACAATTTTTCCAGCACATCTACACATAGTCAAGAAGTTAGTGTCTTTACGGCTGGAAGTCTCTCCGCCAACTATGGGACTCTGCCCGACACCATTAATAGCGGCTGCCTTTCGAAGTAGCCCTCAAATATGCGGTTTTCTCAACCATAGGCAAGCTGAAACCTTCTTGAGAATTTTCAGCTTATTCCACCCATAGTTGAAATTTTCAGAGGTGCTCCAATTGACGAAACTCTTGATGCTTTGTTGGGTCTCTCAGCTTTATCCTGCGTTCTTATGTGCTCATCTACAAGCGTTTTCTGCGCTCTCTTGGATCTTGGAGCTGATCCGACAAAGAAGTACGGAACTTACAAATCAATAATATTGATTTTATTGATTTTTCTCTTCCCAGAACCCTGAAGAAGAAAACTGCTGCTGAGTTAGCAGAACAATTCAAGCGACATGATGTTTTGGCAATATTAGCGGATAAAAGTCGCATTAGACATCATGGTAACATTTGGTGAAATGGGGCGATGCCGGTTTCCCTCCCAATATAATATTTTATAGATAGAATTGCTGTTGGAGACATTCGACAGCTAATCGCAGAAAACCAGCTAGATTCTACAGAATTCGCACGCGGCAAGCAAACACCACTTGCAGAAGGTGCGACACCGTTGATGTTCGCCACTGCATTGGGAAATGAACGAGCTGTGAGTGTATTTGTGTTTATGAGGAGTGAGTTTACCCAAGGTATGGTCAAATCAGACTGTGTTTAGGTCAGACGCCTGCTCGATTTACGGGTTGAAGTGAATGATGCTGAGCTGCGGCATGGTCTTACTGCGCTGCAAATAGCTTCATTGCTTAGGTAAGTACAGTTTGTGTCAATTTTGTGCTCCCTTTTCCACCAGCCAAGTCGCGACCCTAGAACCCGCTCCGCGTTCGCGCGCCTTGCGCATTCAAACAGGCTTCATCGATCGGGGTTCATGCCTTATCGATCGGGGTTGCAGCGTTAGATCGTTGCGTTGCAGACAATTTGCTCCTACAGGAAGGAGAGCACTTGGTTGACATCGATTGTAGTGTTGGCAAAGTACCAAGCTTGGTCCACTTACAAGGAATGCTTGTTTAGTCGAAGTGGCCTTTTTGATGGGATGTACACCATATTGTAGAGCATAAAATGCTGATTCCAAATCTGCCTTCCATATGTGCAGAACGTTTATGGACGAGAAGTTATGAGCGTTTTTTGGAGTCAAAAATTGAATGTGCAAGTGTGACAAAAATAACCGTAATACTTTTTTTAGCTCTTCAACGGAGCAATGATATTCACCAGAACACTTCACTTGAAAATTACTCTGAAATAAAAATTATACCACACTTGGTTACGTTATTTGAAGTCTAGTAAGATTTTAACAACTCATTTTGTTCAAAATGCACATTCAAATTTTGGCTCCAAAAACGCTCATAACTTCTCGTCCATAAACGTTCTGCAGATAAACAAGACAATTTTGAAATCAGCGTTTTATGCGCTTTAATATGGTATACATCTCATTTGGAAAGGCCACTTCGACCAAACATGCTTCCCTTGTTAGTTGCCTTGAAAGCGAAAACTTGCATTGCGGAAAGGAAGAAAGGGAGGCAGTGGCGTACCCAGGATTTCCGCTCGGAGGAGGGGGGGGGGGGGGGAGGAGGGGCGCGACAAAATTACTTTTTTCAAATGAAGGTTGGCGTTAGCCACGCACTCCGAAATAATAGGGGTCCTTCCCAAAACTTTTGCGGGTCCCCAACCCCTAAAATCCGGAAAAAGGGGGCTTGGCGTTAGCCACGCCCCCGAAAATTTTTTTTACAAGGCTAAACTGAATTTTTAAAAAATAAAAATGATTTTAATTATTTACAAGTATAAACAAGTCACTTGCATAACCCATATAAGCAACTTTCAAAAATTTGGCGACCCATTCTCGGAAGGGGGGGGGGACACGATCCCCCTCCCCCCGCTCTCCCCTCTCGGTACGCCACTGAAGGGAGGAAATAACCGAATAGAGCGGAACGCGAAACGGATTCAGTGAGGCCTTTGAAGACTTCTAATACAATGGCTTTGACGGTGGATAGGGCATGGTAATAACTTTTGAACCCGATGAGTCAAAAGTTGTCTCTGGAACAGATTTCGTTAGCAATCTGTCAGTTTAATATCAACGAGCGCAAGCCACAGGTCACTACCGACTAACGTCCGAGCCTGCAAAGCGATGCAGAGAAGCGATATAAAAAAATAAGGCATTAGTCATACTTTGCCCGATCTCGGTCCCCGTAATTGACACTGCTGCAGCGGATTATATTAGGTTGAACCGAAAGTTCTGTCGCAGCATTTTCAAAAAATCCTAACTTCTTTCATTCACGGTGATTTTGCGCAATTCAAATTTTGTCTGAAAGCGTAAAGCATGTAGTTTCCAAAAGCTCCCTGGAGAGTTTCCGACATGCTCAGGTGGCAGAGATAAAAATGAAAGAACGAGATCATCCGAAATTCGGAATTTTTAAGCAAGAATTCTAAAAATTCAGAAACTGTGCGATAAAATCCAGAAAAGCCATTATCCTAATTTTTCTTACATTTGATTACTATCTGAGTCAAGTTTGTGCTGATCGAGCCCTTCTTTCAAAAGTTATGATTTTTTGAAAAATAATGCCGAGAAATCAATTTCCTAAGAATTCTTAAGAAATGGATTTTTTGGCATTATTTTTCAAAAAATCATAACTTTTGAAAGAAGGGCTCGATCAGCACAAACTTGACTCAGATAGTAATCAAATGTAAGAAAAATTAGGATAATGGCTTTTCTGGATTTTATCGCACAGTTTCTGAATTTTTAGAATTCTTGCTTAAAAATTCCGAATTTCGGATGATCTCGTTCTTTCATTTTTATCTCTGCCACCTGAGCATGTCGCAAACTCTCCAGGGAGCTTTTGGAAACTACATGCTTTACGCTTTCAGACAAAATTTGAATTGCGCAAAATCACCGTGAATGAAAGAAGTTAGGATTTTTTGAAAATGGTGCGACAGAACTTTCGGTTCAACCTAATAATTTCTCGTGCAGGAGCTTTCAATCTGAGTGTCACGGTCGGTGCGGCTCGGGTCCACGAGAGCTGCCTCGCTAGTCGACGCGTTTGCGAACATGTCTCGAGGCATTTTTCCAAGCTCATCAGCGATTGATGTCTGAGGATACGCTATCTCCCATGGCCAACAACAGCAATTTATCTCAATCGCACGAGGTATGATCGAGGGTCAAAGGACGAGCAACAGCATTGGTTAAACCACGGAGACTGGGAGAAGTATACGCAGTGCCGGCCGAATTTTCCCAACTACAATGCTAACCATAAAATGGTCGGAGTTTGCAGTCTCTACGGGATAGCGAGTGCTTTCCGAAGCAATGAGAAATGTCATTCTCGACTTCTACTTGAACCTGTTCAATAACCATGTCCTCTCCGCCCTGTCATTTCAGAGAGGCGTCACCGTAACTGAATCAAATCTATATATGATCCGGACACGGCTACGATGCTTTTCTTGGAAAGGAGTTGTCGCGCCTTCGATGCTTCTTCTCAAAAAATTGGCATGCTAACCGAGCAAGGTCGCAAATAAAGGGGAGGTGGCGACATAGTATAATAACGAGTGATTCTGCGACATTGGCAGTTACTGCCCAATCCGCTCGTTGACGGGTTCATGCGAGTTAGTGGCCGTAACAGGATCGGCAGCAGTGTGCAACGAAGTAAAATTACAGAAGGTTGAAATGCGAAATGAATTCGTGCACTACAGATTATGAACAGTGTCGAGGCTTATCGAAGTATTATTGCGAGCATATAAGATGTCGTCTGCCGCACCTCTGTCGGTTCAAAAAAAGACCGTCAATTTGTTGAGACTGAAGCTGTCATCGATGCCTTGAGCAATGATGTTCCTACTCGCGAGTTATATTACTGTTCGTGAGCTAGACCAACTTCGCAGCTAGCATTACACAATCTTACCGCAGTGCTGTTACCGACATACCAGACGTGAGAAAGGAAAAGTTACAGACTCACTGATTGGATTTGTTCACAAGTTCCCAAACGAACTCAAACAGAGCGTTGCTCTATTAGTGCGCAACAGAAACGCTGGTCAAGAATTGCCTGCGACAGGCACTGGGATTCAGTGGTATCCGCTTGTATCACGCCATCACATCGTTGAGGATACGGCTGAATATCATAAGGTATGCATGTTGACCAGAGCATAGCACTGATTGAGAGGAAAATGATTTATGGTGGGGGTGTTAGTGCCAATGAGCTGGGAACGATTTAAGCTGGACAGTGGTATAGGCTTAGGTATTCGTCATCCTGGCATGTCCAGGCTAACATAAACCTGACTATATAGTGGCAACTAAAAAGTTGCGAAACAACCCTCCCCCTCCCTCCCCACTTTTTTTCATTGCTCTTTGGATGTAACAAGAAGGAAAAAATGATCTGGTTGCATAAGATGATAGAGCTTTTTAAGAGCTACAATACACACATCACATTTTTTGGAAAATACGGATTCTATTTGGTTGTTCCATAAGTTCGCAGCTTTTCATTTTCGTCCTCATATCTTTAAGGAGCGATTGATTTGCGGCAAGATGCATAGATTACTTGGAATGGCTGTGCTCTTCATGATATGTTTACTGATTTCGGTGGAAATCTGATTAATTCAGATCTCTTAGCTTCCGAGGATAGAGATTTGAGAGGCAAAAAGGAGCAATTTCGTCATTTGCGCATTTTTTCTTATAACAAAGGTATTTTTACACAGATTTTTTTGTCGTTTATGGAACATGGCGCTCGCACATTAATATGAGACAAAAAAGATTGGATTACTACAAAAGATCAGCGGCTGAGCAGTGTCTCTGTGAGCAAGACTTTTCGGGGACGGGCAGGACGTCCTGCACTCAAAATTTGCTGGAGGTAAGCGATAGCAACCGTACCGTAATCAATCCAACTGCGCCGTCTAAACCAAGTCCCCGCAAGTCCCCGCAAAATAGCCCAATAGACAGATCCAGTGAATTTTTCTGCATGACGAAACATGGCCTTGTATGGCAAACGTCGTCAAAGATGTCGCAAGATTTGACTGGGACATTTGTTCCGCTTCCTCGCAAACCTCATGATTGGTGCACGTCTCAATTTCAGTGAGTAACTTGAGCGCTGGTTAGATGACTTTCCTGGTACCCGGCGTGCTGACGTTTGAAAAATTGAGGTTGAGAAACTGACAGAAATGTGCCAAAAGGTCGTGCGCTAGATCGAGGAATATAATATTGACTGGTTTCAATTGTAAATTAATGATTCTGTTGGTTATAAAATCGCTACGAACTCATGGAATGACCTAATAAAAAATTCAAAAATTTCTCTCAAAAAGAAACCCGAAAAATGTCCGGTTTACAATGGCGCAGAACAATTCTTCGAACGCGAGATTTTCCTCTTGGGTTCTTTTGAAACGAAAACATCAGTAATCTGAACGGGTAAGTTACTATAATATAGCTGATTAAGAACTAAAATCTGATTATGGTCAATTCCTAGAAAATTCAAGAATTTCATTAGCATTTTCCAGAGAATAACTTCTGACTTTCTCTTTGAAACCAAATTTATTCACATGGAAACCGAATTAAAACATTCTAACAATGCTATTTGTATAAAATGATGCTCTTTGCCATACTCTCTGCATCGGACTTGTTCTGGTGAGTTTCCTTGCTGGAAATGGTCCTTGATAGCTCGTGCACATGACCCCACCTGCATTTCACCACTGTGTTGTACCGCTTTGCAAGCTTGTAGGTCAACCAGCAATCAATCTATGAGCCTGTATTTGAGCTCATTCGAAGGGGCAATACTTTCTCGACACATTGACATGCAAAGATAAGTTTGAGAAATTCGATTATGAGAATGGGCTGAAAAAGCGCAGCCTCTAAGATTGGCTGAAAATTTTTCGCTCAAGTTTGAGAAGAGCTCTTTTCGTTGGCACTTTCATCTTGAAAGTCCAGAACAACCTTAATAATATATGATGTAGTAATAATATATGATGTTCCGTGTTCGACTTTCGATGAATCTTGGCATATTCCAGTGTGGTTCTTCCTCATCTAACAGCAAAGGCTCTGACGAAGGCGATTGGGCCGAAACGTTAGCCGAATAAATGTTATATTAATCTTGGTGTCGGCTAAACCACTCAAGCAAGTTTTAATAATATAATTTCGAAGTTCTAGGACTGTTTCTTGTCGATGAGAGCCTTCACTCCATCACCACCAAATCTGTGCTTTCCAAACCCATACTCATACGCTTCCCAAACCCATACTGTTCAAAACTTCCAAAACTTCTTAAGCTCACCTCTTTTGCACATCGCCGTGTTGAGGAAGTCTGCTCTTTGAATGAGCCTACATATATACTTACAAATTGACTGCTGGCTAAGCTAAGCTTGCAAAGCTGTACAAGTCAGTGGTGAGGTGTAGGTGAGGTCAGTGCACGCACTATCAAGGGCCATTTTTAGCAAGGAAACTCAGCAGAAAACGTCCGATGTATAGAAATTGGCAAGAGTATGCATTCAATACAAATAATATAAATAAAATACAAATATATACAATACACATACACAAATAATATTACGCTTGAGCTGTTTAGGAAGTAACTACAACTGATTTTAGTCCTTGGTGAGCTCTATATAATAGTAAGCTTTTATTCGGATTACTTTTTTACCTTCAAAATAGAACCCAAAAAAAGGTTTCGCGTTCGAAGTAGTGTTGTCCGCGTCATCCTGACGCGACCACTTTTAAACTATTCAGAGTTGTTTTCCAAAACCAGTAATGTGTGGATTGGGGAGCTCTATCATCTCATGTAATCAGATAATTTTTTCACCTTCTCTATCACCTGAAAACGCACGATGGCGAAAAATGGGCGGCTTGTGCGCATATTGGTATTGGCGGTCACCTATGTGAGAAAGCGGCGTTAAGAAGATAAATATCGGTAGTTTGTACAATAGGTGGTTTATTTGGCTATCAAATAGTATTAACACGTTGACAACTGTATGCACGCCCTGACCACCTTTTAGCACTTTCGTGCATCAATTTATTATGTGTAAACGAAAAGTTCTCAGGTAACTGCAGTGATAACACTGGTGGCCTCGTTGTCATATAGAACACACGGCATTGCGGTAGCTGTTAAACAGTCTAAACCGCAGCCGTAGATTATCAGTCCATTTTGATGTGGTCAAAAATGGCTTGGTGGTCAACGTGTTAAAGTTATATACCTTCGATACTAGGGATTGACTATGCTGTCCTGTCTTCACTGATGTTTAGGAAGGCGCCGCTATCACTAGCAAGTGTTTGCGGTCTCTGATAAGTCACACGATTTCTTTTGTTCTGAGGAGCTCTGATGAGCTATGAGTTCACCTAATCTATAAATCGATTGATTTCAGGTTTGATCACATAGCGCTTTTACTTTTGATGAATGATGCTAGAGCCACTGATCTCACTACGTTGAATCTTACAGCATTTGACCTTTATATTGCAAGTTCGGGTGAGTCCATCTTTGTTCACGATAATCATCGACTTTTCTGACTCAAGGTAAAATGGTTCTACTTTAAGATGAAGCAGATCCAAACCTTCGAGCCATGTTGCATTACTGCCGACCGAAACGCATAGATGGGAAAGTGAACCTTAGTGGTAGTACTAGCACATTATCAAAAGTTTTGATAGCTGGTAGACCGAAGGTACGAACTTTGACAACCAACTGATAACAAGCATTTTACTTTCTGTTTAGGAATGGTTAACTCGATTCTCAAGCCAGTTAGGTATAACTGGTGAGTCGGAAACAGCATCAAGTATGTTGGAAATGCGTCAATGGCGGGATTATTGGACAAAAACGAATGGCACTGACGGTCGATTTAGCCGAGTGGGTAGAAAGTGAGGCAGACTTAGTTAGAGTTCAACTGATAACTTTAGAAACTCGTGACTGCTGAAGAGATTTTGCGAATGACAAAGAATGCCACGCCGCTAAAGACGGCAAGTTATGACACAGTGCTTGATGCGGTGAAAAAAATGGCACAGGCAAGTCTATTCTTAAAGGCATTGTCCAGGTCAACTGAGGTCCAGGTCAAATGGGATCTTGACGCAGTGCAAGAGCAAAGCTCACTCAACGCAACAGCTTAAGTCCGATCGAAAAAGGTTGATTCTGAAGCGAGAAAATCGCTTCGGAAAAAAGGGGCGGTACTCCAATCCCGCCTCCTTGTCACGTTTTGACGTGGTAAATGCGCTAAATCTACTGTATTGGCTTAGAGCCGGGCACGAGGTGGGCAAATGGGGTTTTCCAAAACGAATTTTTCTTTGATCCCCAAAATGTTGACGAATACCCCTTTGAGCCTAAAAACGATGCTTTGTGCTTGTGCAACGAGAGCATCGGCCACACTTTGCCTACAAGCGCACAAATTCTTCTAATTATTCCTCACTTTTATTAGGATAGAAAAAGAAGATTAAGCAAAAAAATGATGAAAGAATGAAGAAATATTGGAGTAACGCAGTTATACTACTGAGAGATGCCGTTCTCGCGTATCGATTGAGTGGAGCGCGCTTTCCTCCTTACAAAGCTGGGCTGCTGCTGATGCGATTTTGGGCTCTAACAACGACAAAAGGAGGAGTTTTAAAACCAAAATTCTTATGGTACACTCTAGGTGTAAAACACAATTTATGTGAAAACTTTGAAAAACTTATGTGAATTGAAAGATTTGCCTACCTCAGGTGGGCATCAGGTGGGCAATTGTCCACCTAATTTGGAAAAAAGTTGGGCACGCTCTTCGTTCACATAAGTTTTTCGTAAATTTTCATACTTTGTTCCTTACAAGAGAATGTTCAGAAGTCGAAGTGGTCAGTCTATACAAGCTGCATACCATTATATGTAGCATAAAACGCAGACTCTGAATCTGTCTTCCATGTCTACAGAGCGCTTTTGTGGACGAAATTATAAGCTGTTGAAGTTCATTATTTTGCTAAAAAATTGTGCGTGTAAAGGGCAAACCTGGCCGTACAAAGTCATTCTCGGCTCAGTGTTGGACTAAAACATGCACTTAAGTCAATTCATACGATCCGTACCTAGAGATGAGCTGAAAGAGCAATAGTGTGCCTAATTTCGCAATTTTTGTATACGGTTTTTTCGCAGTAAAGCTGCTCATAACTTCGCCTACAAAGGCGCTCTGCAGATAAGGAAGACAGATTTGAAATCAGAATATTATGCTGCATCAAATGGTATGCAGCTTGTATTTATTGGCCACTTCGACTTCTGATCATTCCCTTGCCAGTCCTATTACGCGTGTACACACTACTTGCGCAATTTCGTCATCTGTACGTTGCAAACGAGGCATTTTTCCATCTTTTAGTAGCGGGAAATTTTCAGAAAAAGGTTGCTTCAACCTTCAGTTACATAATTTTTCAATGAAACTTCTAACTTAAAGGCAGCGACTAGGCAGATTTTCAACTTCGGGGCTTTGGCAGATTTGGGGCTATTCCGGCCCCCTGAATCACGACATGTACTCCCCTTAGCGCGAAAATGGGGGAAAATCCTATCTTTTGAAACCCCCTTTGAGACGGGCGCGGACGAGTGAGCCGTTATTCTCTGCCGTCAGAGACGCAGAGTAAGGAGATAGAGAGCGCTAGAACAATGTCCTACGAAGCTACGAGTGACGGCGCGTCTTCTAGCGGAGAACATACTCGTCCGAACAAGGTGTCAGGGGAGCGAAAGGAGGAAGGGGAGCGGCGGTTGTGCCGCCCCCCCCCTCTAACTTGCAGAGTTCACATTTTCGGCGCGGAGTTGCTGTTTCGGTTCACTTGGAGGGCTTCCTATCCATCTGTGTCAAAATCTGAGGTAGGTTTATTCTGCCGAGACGCTTTCTTTAAGCCCTGCAGGCCCGTGTTCATGTATCTACCAAGTTTCATACCGTATGGTCATCTGTGCGCTGCAAACCAGCCATTTGAATTCGCATCTTCATTTACCAGTTATGGGAAATTTTTGGAAAAATGCTCAGTACACCTTCCATTCACATAAGTTCTTCCTATTTTTCCACACTTTGTTTCTACTAGCCTCTGTTCGTTCGCTTACGAAATTTGGTGCCATATAAATACGCATGCACTGAGAACCAGTTATGTATGTTTTTCCAAAAGGCGTCGGTCCAGCGACCGCGCGTGCGGCAGTCAGCGGCAGCGCGGTTTGACGCGCGCTAACTGCACTGCGCGGCTGTTGAGGCACGTATGAACATGTTAAGATAAGCAGAGAGCACAAACTACCATTTTTTCCGGGGTTCAGCCCCTGGAAAAATGGTAGTTTATGGATCGCGCAAAAACGATATCCCCTTTTCTTTTTTCATTCAAAACGATATCCAGCCTGCCATTCGCCTATCTAGTGCCGGGTCCTGTACTGGCCACGTCAAAATTTTCAAGGAGGCGGGATTGGAGTACCGCCCTTTTTTACCGAAGCGATTCACTCGCTTCAAAATCCATTTTCTCGACCGGAATTGAAATGTTGCGTTAGTCAGGAGTAGTACTCTCACACTGCGTCAATATCCTAATACCTCCCCCCCCCCCCAATTGACCTAGACTATGCCTTTAACTCAAGGTTGATTGTCTGAAGCATAGACGATAATAATTTTTACAGCAAACGCAAACATTCGCCATGTCCTGCTTCTATGATTCGTATGTGGGTGAACTCAAGCGCACAGAGTCAGATCGTGAGAAAGATAACAACAAATGGGAATACTATGATCGAGCACAGATGTACACTTCACAATGTGTGAGGGGTTTTGTTTCCTTTCAGCTGTATGCCTTGCAAACTCTTAACTCAACTCATTTTCTCAAGGGATACCAACCGTCAAAAAGAAGGGTGATCAATCCGAGAGATTCCATAGTGGTGCACCGTAGAGACGGAAGCGATGGTAAGTTTCAGCACGAGCTTATCGCATCTCGGGAGTGCTTTTAAACCCACCGTGATTGCTCTTTCCGCTTACTTCTGCGTTTTTAATACAAATCGGATTGCAAATAGAGCAGCGAATTTGATGTTATTCAATATCAATACACTACACCGCAAGAAAGCATTTGGTGCAATTGTTTAGGAGCAAATACCCTTTGCTTCAACCAGATTGGCTGCTAGAAGGCGAGACTTGATGACCTTGGAGGCGACTGCTCGCGTCCGCGACGCAGTCTGCGCCTCCTTCGCGAACATGCTCTCTGATCATTTTAGCCTTAATTAGGTCATGGAGCCCCGCCTTCCAGCCGCCGATCTGGTTGAAAAAAGGGTAACATCTTACGCAAATTAAGGACTGTAGGACCTGTTCTGTTTGGTCTAAAAATAGTATCAATCAAAAAAAGTGAATGAAGTACGATGCTGTAATAATTGAAAGAATTACGTCTTTGTGTCGACTTTGGGTTCATGACAAATCAAATACTACTAGAGCATCTTTCCAAGATCTTTTCCGTAAAACCTCAGAATTTGTAGTTTGAAACTCTTCTCTGCCGAGCAGGTTACGAGCTATCTTTGCTCCTTCCACTTAGGCCAAACGTTTTGACACCTTCATCGTTCTCAAAGGTTGAATGTTGATTCTTGTTTGAATCCAATCTACCAAACACATCTTCGAATCCTACTAAATCTCGCCTTCCCACTACCTCCAATCCCCAAATTTCCACGCGGAAAAAACATAAAGTAACACCACCACTTTCTGAGTCTCACAGGAGATACAGGGTGCGTTAAAATTATTTGCGTCAACTTTGCGGAAGTGCCTCAAAAAACTACTCATAGTTTTGGTTTCAAAATTTATGTGGTAGAATGCTGCAATCATCCTCCACAAAACAACGTTTTATGAGCCCAAGGTGATTGCCATACCTTCTCGTACCAATACTTTTAAAAAGCGCAAAAACCTGATTTTCAAGTAGTTATAATTCAATATATTCATGTATAGTAACTGGAGATTCTTAAGCATTTTGAAGGGATTTTATGTCCACAGTGTAGAAGAGGCTCTGCGCTATCGAATCGTAGTACTTGCGTTCGCCAACAATTATTTTTTCAAAAATAGCGATAAAAAGTATGCAAATGCCACCCGCTTGTCAGATTTGTTTTCAAATCACACTAAGCTATAGAAACGTACCTGTCACCGAATTCAATGCTAGAATCTTCCACACAGCTTCTAGATAAATATTCACTTTTTCATTGATGGAATTGACCTCAAGCCTGATTTGAATTTAATTTCTGCTTTTCTTTTGTTCATTCGTACCCCTAAAATGTGCAGTTTTTGAGCATGTGGCAAACACATGATTTTGGTTAAACGCCAACAATTTTCTTGACCATCCTATTGTCCACCCTTGGTCAAATCGATAAAACAGTCAACTGTAAACTTGTCAACTGGCAAGGCCGTGGTTCGAGAGAAAATATCGGCGATATTTTCTCAGAATGGTGCGGCATTTGTTATCGGCCACCACGGAAAAATCGACGATGATCGCTAAAAGAGTTCTGCTGAGCAAACGGGGAGATAAAATAGAAGCAAAGAAACTGCAATAGTTTAAAATCAATTCTCACAAAAATTGCATTTGTTCGATATTGCGCAGTTTCTGAGAAAAATCAATGTACCCTCTGCAAAAAAGTGAATAAATGTTTCTTCAGTAATTTAGACAAAACCAAAGTTATTATAGCATTTAGGCTAATTTTGGATAGTGTTTTGGCTTAGTCGCCTTCGTCAGAGCCTATAAAGTGAGGAATACTGATTGTGAGAACTTACCTTCCAAACATCTCATCACATGCAGGAACAATCTTAGAAGCTGCAAGACTTCCGTTGAGGCCAAGAGCATTGCCTTACCTTTGCTGCATTTTGAGGAAATCATGTTTGGAATGCGTTAACAAGAATGAGGCAAGGAGGCTCTGGAGGCTACACATAGATCAAATTTTGCTAATTTTAGTAGTGGGCGAGCTCAGTTGTTATGACAATGGTATTTTCTTTTCTGTTCATTTTGGGGTTTCTGGGTGGAATCTAGCACCCATCAAGGGTCTTTCGAGCCGATTTATGTTTCCCGTGACAGTATGTTGACAAAACATCAATTCTGTGTCATGGTGACCTTGCGATGCGTGCCCAAGGGGACAATATTAGTCTTCGTAACCCATCTTTGTGTTCCCTAATCTTGACACAAAGAGGCCTTCCCGTCTATGTTACATATTCCTCCCCACATAGCTTACAAGTAATGAGAAAAGCGTATTAAAGCATATGCAATTGTCGCTACCATTTATCGCTATCACACACTAAGGAGCGCTACATGCTTGATTATATGCTCTTTTGCGCACTAGACCTTGGAGATTGGGAGAAGAAATCTCAACGACACTAAGTGATTCCTCTTCCGATTTTTCCCAAGCTCTGATCACTTTACTTAATCATACAGCAAGGGTAAGCTAGTGTTCTATCCTTAACGGGAGTCTTTGCAACTTTCGAAACTGTTCCTGCATTTGATAAGATCTTTGTCAATGTTCCTCACTTTATAGACTACTAGCTGGCTTACCCGGCTCCGCCGTATCCGGACCAAACTTGGCACACATACACTTCGGGCCCCGGCGGGTGTCACAGTCCACTTTTCGTTATCGATCGACGTCGATTTTACCGATTTTTATCGATTTTTTTGCAGAGTTCACCTACAGGGCTAGGAGTTGGCACAGGGGGGGAAGTGAGCATGGGGATTCCGAATACAATATTAGTTTTCAGAATTATCGATTACTTTTATTGGTTTTATCGATTTTTTGTAAATTTTGACATGCGAGGCTGGGATTTTGCACAGGGGGTAATCGAGCATGTTGATTACGAACACAATATTAGTTTTCAGGATCGTCCATTACTTTTATCGATTTTATCGATTTTTTTGTAAAGTTTGACCTGCGGGGCTGGGAGTTTGCACAGGGGGTAATCGAGCATGCAGATTACGAATACAATATTAGTTTTCAAGATCGTCCATTACTTTTATCGATTTTATCGATTTTTTGAAAATTTGAGCTAGGGGGCTGGAATTTGGCACAGGGGTGTAATCGAACATGCTGATCACCCCCCTTGGGGGTGATCAGCATGCTCGATTACCCCCCTGTGCCAACTCCCAGCCCCCTAGCTCAAACTTTGCAAAAAAAGCGATAAAATCGATAAAAGTAATCGATAATCCTGAAAACCAATATTGTATTCGGAATCCCCATGCTCGATTACCCCCCTGTGCCAACTCCCAGCCCCGTAGCTCAAACTTTGCAAAAAAATCGATAAAATCGATAAAAGTAATCGATAATCCTGAAAACCAATATTGTATTCGGAATCCCCATGCTCGATTACCCCCCTGTGCCAACTCCCAGCCCCGTAGGTGAACTCAGCAAAAAAATCGATAAAAATCGATAAAATCGATATCGATCGATGACGAAAAGTAGCCTATGACACCCGCCGGGACCCAAAGTGTATGTGTGCCAAGTTTGGTCTGGATCGGTTCAGAAATGGAATTTTCTATTCGGAACATACGTACAGACATACATACAGACAGACAGACAGACAGACAGACATACATACAAACAGACATTCAGCTTTATATATAAGAAGACGAAGGCGACTAGGCCGAAGCGTTAGCCGAATGAATGCTATGATAGTCTTGGTTTGCTAAATCACCGAAGAGGCTTGATCAGTATGCCAAGATTTATCGAAAGTCGAAAATGGAACATCATGAATAAGTGTTTTTTCTATGGCGATGGTCAGCAGTTCATTGATTCTCTACATCCGCATGCCATATCGTCCGTAGTGCTATGCAACCTTATGTGTAACTGATTTATACACGAGCAATTCACGGGATTTTTCTGAATTCTCCGCTCTAACTCACTCTCAAAAGTTGAGTGTAGGACCATCCTTATGTTTACTTCCAGTCAACTGCTAATTTGGATGCCTTTATCAAGCATAGGAGGATGGACGGTCTAGTTAGGAACTCTTCAATTCTCTTGATCTGACGAGAGTTTATACGGCCCATAGTGATATGAACGGGAGAAATTCAAGCCTGTATGCATTAAAGACAGCGTCCAGGCACATTTGAACCAAATTCACGTGGAAAGTGATTTTGTATCCCTGATTAAGGGCCGCATGCATTAACATCCCCGCCAGAGATTGGAAGGCAGCTCAAAAGTACCTCATATTCTGAAGGCCTGGACATCTGAATTTGTCGCCTATCCATCCGCAAGTGTTTCTACTACTCTTTACTATAAACATTTTGAACCGGAGCGAGATTACAATCCGAATTTCACAGCTTTTCCTATGATCTCCTGATGATTTCCGGTGTACGCGACCTCTTCTCTTTAAATCTCTTTTCTTTCTTCGAAGTCAATGAAAACATTCCAAAGTTGTACCATCTAGCCCAATTGTGAAGCATGTTTTTGACGTTTATAATTGAAGTGTCAAATTTTAGGGATTTTCGATAAACCTCAACTTTCGACGAGTGGTTAATTGCAGTTTTCAAGACTTCGATTTACCGATTGTTTTCATCGAACATGCTTAGCATTGTTAGGCTACATAGTAAATACAACTTTGGAATGTTTCCCTTGACTTTGAGGAAAGAAAAGTGAATTCGGAGAAAAGATGGCGTGCCGTTGGGATTATTAGGGGTTTATACATACATCATCATCATACAAAGAGCTGGGAAATGCGGCTTATACAACTTTTCGCTCCTGCTCAATATATTTATAGTAAAGTGTTATAAGAACCTTACGGATAAACATAAGAGCAAAAAATCCGAATATTCAAAGCTTCAGAATATGAAACATTCTTCTAAGCTGTGCTTCCCAGCGAGGATGTTAATGCATCTGACCTAATACACTGTTCAAGCAGAAGCGCGAATGTTTCATTCACGGCTGAAATATTCGTCTCTGAAAATGGATTCCAGGATCGTATAAACGAACGACTTGCTTCGTGTTTGCAGGCTGTCGCATCACCCACGAAATTGATGGGTCGTGGTTTGAAACCACACAAGCATGAGGCAAGTCGTCGTCCGTTGATAGATTTCATGGTCAAACACGTGAACAACAATGATGTTCTTTAAATACTTCTGAAAAGATTGATTCCAACCACTTAGAGCAATCGAAAATTATCTATCTGTATATACAGGGTGTCTCAAAAAAATGTATCGAACGTTTGATCTTTAATAACTTTCCTATATCGAAAGCTTTCGCGGATCTTTGGCTTATATGGTAAAGCTAGGTTCAACTTAGATTGACAATTTAGAGCAAATCACCGATTTCTTGTAGTTACTTAGAATTGCGGTAGAAATTTTCGACTAATTTTGAGCTTCTGACAGGCAAGATCTGCTTTCAAAAAATTCCAAAAAAACCGAAAGACGTTAAACTGAAGTTTTCGGGGATGCCGAATGTAAGTACAAAGTTTTCCGCTATCGTACTCCTCATCTTCCTATGGTAGGCGCACTGTAACGCTAAATTTTTAGCTTTTGACGACGTGTTTGTAACTGCAACGTTGATTTAATAAATTCTGGAAAAAAGCCAAAAATTTAGCGTTACAGTGCGCCTACAAAAGGAAGATGAGGAGTGTGGTAGCGGAAAACTTTGTAATTAGATTCAGCATCCCGAAAACCTCAGTTTAACGTGCTTCGATTTTTTTTGAAATTTTTTGAAAGCAGATCTTGCCTGTCAGAAGCTCAAAATTAGTCGAAAATTCCCACCGTAATTCTACAGTAACTAAAGAAATCGGTGATCCGCTCTATACTGTAAATCTATGTTGAACCTAGCTCTATCATATAATACCCAAAGATCCGCGAAAGCTTTCGATACAGGGAAGTTATTATAGATCAAACGTTTGATACATTTTTTGGGACACCCTCTATATCCAAAAGTCAAAGTTTGTGCCACTCTTGACCGTATGTGTTTTATAGTCTCCTTTGCGCGTGAACCGATTGAGCTGAATTTTTGCACATATATGTTTTCGATCCCGTAGATGGTTTTAGGCTACTTTTTGAAGCGATTCGCTGGATAGTTCTATTGATTTATTGATTTCGGCACTTTGCAGTGAAAATGAATTCTTATCAGCCACTATCATACCCATGCACATTTTGGTGTAAACAATAGCAGAGAAGCTCATTCTAAGTTCTAACAAGAACAACGCGGTAGAGCTAACTGATTACCACGCCAAGTAAATCCTTGATGACCATCTCGCACATGTGATATTGCATCCAGCTTCATGAATTGCGGAGCCATATTTAGTTCACTGTTTTTGAAATTTGCCCATATAAACTGTCAAAGCGAAACTTTTGAAGGGCTTCCAAGCGCATAAACTAAACAACGCTATTAATTCTGGATTAGGATTTGGGATATACCACTTAAAATGCCATGTATGTAGATTCGATAATTGATTAGAATCTTGGAATCAACCTGTAACAGCCGGGCAAAGCCGAGTACAGTGGCTAGTACAAAATAAGGGTTAGCAACGGTAGGGGGAGTGTGCAACATTTCTCCTAGATAAAGACAGGTCAGTCAAAAAACAAATGCTCTTTAGCTGATGACAAACTCTTTTTAGCCCACGTAGCAAGTCTAACGCTACTTCCAACAGCTACTTGAATTTTTTACCATGATTTTGCACAAGTGGCAGTCGTTTTCGGCACTTACCTTACAGCAATTTTTCCAGCTCAATGGAGATAACACATACTTTGCTTTGAACCACATTTTGTAAAGCGTAGCTTTTACTCTTTCATTCAAGTCATGAGTCCTTTTAGGAAGTCGTAAACCAAGGTTGTCATTCCTGGAGTCACCATCTCAGAATCAAATGCGCACTACTCCTAGAATGTTGAAGAAGTCGCGAGAATCTATGGTTATGGACGAGTCTGTGACGCGGAGCGGCTATGAGCAACTGAGAAAGTAAGTTTCAAATCACTTGTCTACTTTTCATGGTACACATCTCAAGATATCAAAACCAAAAAAACTTATAACTTTCTTTGAGGGAATGTCTATTAAGAACAGCGTCGACGCCACTGCTTGTGCAGGTGCCTACCATGCTATCTACACCACATGTTCGTTTGGCTTTGAGCCAATCGGAACGAAGAAGGACTGTTGAAGGTAAAATATTTTGTCTTCTCCATTCTTCTGACAACAAAGCTTGTGAGTTGCAATTTTAGAAATGATCTGGGGTGAGTTGCGTAAACACGGTTTGATGCAGTACGTGGATATACTTCAAAGGGAGGAAATTGACGCAGAGGTTGGTGTTTGATCCGAGTTGGCCATTGTTGATTGATTTTTATATCAATATTATCCAGTCATTCTTCACATTGAACGATCATGACCTCAAGAACATGGGCATCTCGTCTGCGGCCCACCGTACGGCAATCCTCAATGTAAAAAATCATCTCATCAGCATATCGTGATTCAATACAGTACTAGTCCTGTTCTCTGGTCCATTTAACTGGTATGCATCTAAACAATTGGAAGAATTGTATGTGTGAAAAATCAGTAGCGAACACATTGATAAACACAGGCAAAACTCTTGCCTTTTCATTACGTATAGGGCATTTGAAAAATCGTGCCGATGGCGCGACCGCGCGCGAAGCGCACGCCACTTCCAGAAATCGCGTTTTTTTGGTTTTCATTTCTAGTTGAATGGCTTTTTGCTTACGTATGAAAATATTTGAACACTGGAGGTGACTGAGCTAAACTTTGAGGTAATGCCTTCGTGTATGAGCGTTTTATGCTCCTGTGGTCACAAAGTCTGCAGCAAAATCCATCGTCACGACTTTTCAAACGAACTATACATTACGACCGCTTCTCCTCGAGGAAACTCTTTAAAAATTTTCATCGATTATACTGGAGCTCCAGATTAATCATCACGTAGAACACTAATTGCACCCTTATACACTAAATATTGAAATAAATTCAAGGTTAACAAGATAATAAATATTCTTTAACAGAAACCATAAATCTGCTCATATACCTACAATAATTTACGAGCATTATGTAAAGCATCTTATCAGACACCAGTATCGTTTAACAATTAGAACTACATTAAAAAATGTCACACAACTATTCGTTTCGAGTTTCGTTCTTCTAAGACTGAACTTGGAACTACTTCTACATATGATCGAGGAGGACATCGGCAATATCCAGCGTCAATACCATTCACACCCCTTTCGCCCTGTTCTCCGTCTTCGCCGTTTAGCCCTGGCAATCCGGTTCTTCCTTGAGGTCCTGGCACACCAGGTAGCCCGGGTTTTCCAGGCGCTCCCTCAGGACCTTGTTTACCAGGTGCGCCCTCAGGCCCTGGTGGACCTGATGGTCCACGCAAACCTCCGTTACTTCTGGATGCGTTTCTACCTTGTGTACCTGGTACTCCATCAACTCCAGGATCTCCCGCGAGACCGGCATCACCGGGTGGTCCGTAGAAACCTTGTCCCCCATCTCGTCCTGGCATGCCGGTAAGACCTTGGACTCCGTTTGCTCCAGGAAATCCTGGAGGACCATCAGGGCCTTGTACACCACGTGGTCCCGCAGGGCATACGTAACAGAGTAGATCGCCGCTTTTTTGCTGCGGATATGTTGAAGCGCCATCAACTCCGGGCGTTCCAGCAAAACCCGACTCACCATCTTCACCTTTCAATCCTGGGATTCCTGGCGGACCTGCAGGACCTGGCGGGCATGTGTTTGGCTGTTGAGCACACTTGCATGAGACTGTGCTGATCTCTCTTCTATCTCGCTCTAAGTCGTGAAATTTTCTAGCTTGCATTGACTCCATTATGGTAACCCATGCATGATCGGCGGTTGCCTGAAATGTTGCTATTTCAGCAGAAGCGTACATTCGAGTCACTTGTAGTGGATTGGGTAAGTGTGGATTGGGCGGGCCCCCTCACGTTTTGTATTAGCAGCTTACAAAATATTCTGTTTTTATTTTTATTCTTATTTTTTCGTATATTTATGGGGAAGTAATGTCAAGGTAATCATCACTAATTGATATGGAATTGACTGGTTGCACTGCCTATAACGAAGGATTCGTGAGCTTGCGCGAATTTTATGCTGAGATATAGACAGACCGAAATTTAAAGAAACGTGTAAGCTCACCCTAAACTCATTGACGTCCAATAAAAATTCGTCGTGTAGCAGGGTGACATCGCTATATAGCTTTCCGATAATACCGGTAGAGAATACAATTAACATTGAAGATACAAAACAGACCGCATGTAAGAATATACGGTCTTTCTCGCCCATGTCACATCTCCGACACGATCGATGCCTTTATATAGACTCAATGAAATGACCAATTAGCATCTAGCAACCTGAAACATGATTGAGGATAGAATTCTCAAAAACATTGATTAGCATAATCTAGCTTCTACGGTGACAGCGAAAAGCGACAAATTGCTTGCTCAAAAATGCGTTAAATGAGCTGTGCTACACTGTCTAATGAGATGTTCGCGGACTTCGCACATAATGTGTATAATCTGAAAACCGTATTCATACAGTGCAAGTCCGTTAGCAGCAACGAGTTTCGCAATATGGATTGCGAGCGAACCAAACTTGCGGCAAGTGAATTGTTCCCCTCTAGCAACATAGGTGCAGGTAATTACGTTTCTGCGCAAGCGTCTGCAACCGGATGAACTATATCGTTTGGAAACGGCCTACGATATAGGGTTATTTAGCCAATCAGGATATCACAAAATGAGCAACCGTAATTTTTTAATCGGATAAGTGAAGATTTGGAGAGCTTTAGCTACTGCTAAAATGTAGACTGGTTGAGGATTCGAGTGTTCTATGGTGAAGAATATTCTACTCAGAATCTCCTTTCTATTAAAGCCACAGGCCGAAAGCTTACTTAAAGGCAGTAAAACCGGCAGAATGAGTCCCGTGGCAAAACAAGGTCATAGGGTAGGAGCCTCCATAATGGAACCTATCGGCCAAACTCCGATCTTTCTCTGCCACTTTTAACTCCGAAATTCCAATGCGAAAGCAGCGCTCGTCTCCTTTTCTCTCAGACCCCGCCCACCCCATGGACGAGTGACTTCCACGGCCAGAGCGCGCATGCCGCAATGCTATAAGCATAAGGGTCCCGCAACGACTCTGCGCCTTCGCCATGGCGGGCTTCGCGTTCACTCGTCCGTGGGGTGGGCGGGATCGGAGAGGAGAGGAGATAAGCGCTGCTTTCGCTTTGAAATTTCGGGGGTTAGAAGTGGCAGGAAAAGATCAAACTTTGGCCTATAGGTTCCATTATGGGGGCTCCTACCCTGGGACCTTGTTTTGCTACGGTCTCATTCTGCCGTTCCACTGCCTTTAAAAGAGAAGTACATTAGGTCGAAGTGGTCTTTCAAGATAAACTGCATGCGGTAACAGTAAAACTTCTCAATATCTATCTTATATCTGCTATGTTTCCCTGCATGCTTGATCATGAGCGATTTCGAGGGGAAAATTCAATAAGTATCAACAAAATCAGATTTGAATCTGTCCCGCATTACTGAGGCTTGCGAGCAAGGACCGTCAGCATAGAACTTTGATATGGCAAACAACTGTTTATTAGAACGACAGAAACAATATCAGTAATAGACGGCAATGGTAGCATTCTTAGCGCGACAGCCCAAAGTAAGTATGATCGGCTACAGTTCAATAGCCAAGTCTAATTCCAATTTAGATATTTGAGTCTAACGTTTATCAATTATATGGCGCCATGCTTTAGTGTACTTACTGGGCTATAAGCTATACGCAACCTGCGTTCGCCCTCGGTGGACGTATGGGTGCAGAACCATCGAAATGAGAATTGGTGCTAATTACAAGTTCCCGGAAGTCCCAAACAACAGGGAAAAAGTGGCATACTTTGAAAGACTACGGTAAGAAAAGTTTTATTTAATTCAAGGACACGACACGTTGAAATCTTGTCACAGGAAGGATATTTTGAAAAAAAAAATTACTAATCCATTGCACAAATTGTACAATCGTCGTCAACATCGCGAAAGTGAAAATTTAAGGCATGATCATTCTAAAGCACTTCGCAAGCTCAATCGATGACGAGGTTATGAGATATCAATTAGCAAATGCTTAAAGAGGAATTTATGAACTTCAAAATAGTAGGTCATCGATGCAAAAAAATCAAACTATAACGAAAATGATTAGAGCATACATCATACAAAAATATAAGTGGTCCAAGAAATGCGAAAGAAATAAAGACCTATATTTTGGGTTTGTCCAATTGAAACCGGATTAAAGATTGCATTGCAAAGCCGATGACATTACACTCAATTATGACCCACTCTTATAAAGTGGGGAGATATGAAGTTTATACGCACGATAAGCAATTACCACAATGATGAGGTCACACTTATAATAACACCTTTATATGCTACGGCTTAAAGGCAGTGGGTCGGCAAAACTCAACAACTCAAAATTTCAACGCGGTAGACTCCTTACTGCCCAATTATGAAAACAGTGCAATACCGGTTGCACAGCATGCCTTCCTTGCCAAGAAAATTGCTCTCAAACTTACACGCGCAGGCCATTCTTACACGCATCCGGACGAGTTAGCAATTTCCTTCTCACCATTAGAGGCTGCTCGCCGCAATGCTATAACCATTGGGTCCTGAAACGATTCGGCGTCATCAGCCTTGCTGCACTCGTCCAATTCCAAAGGGAAAGGCATTAAAAAACGCTCGTTTTCGGCGTTTTCAAGCTCTTAAAAGTGAATTTTCGGAATCAGCGTATTGAATAACCTCAGGTAAGCGAAAATTTGACTAGGCTGAGATTTGCCGAGCCACTGCCTTTAACCACTGGAAGTCAGCCTTTAGAAATAGACTTTGAAGGGAACAACAACTCAACAAACATGCTCACCAGAGCAATAACCAACAACGACTAAAGAAGGTTAACTGCTATGACGCGACTGCGGTGAGAATATCTCCTCCGACTTGCCACTCGATTCGTCACGAGTGGAAGCTTCAGCTTCAGCTCCAACTTCATCAGTATTGACCATCGTTTCAGGGATATCCTTTTTCAAGTCTGGTCGGCTATGCAGAAGTCGGCACGTAAACTTTGTCGTACAGTCTAGAGAAAGAAAATTTTACATGCGGTGGTTTAAAAATCTTTGGCAAACATGCCATTTATACGTTGCAGGAATACTGGTGCATGTGCTGGTCTCACAAGAGCGTAGAAAAACACTAGACCGCTGATGACAACGCCTACTCCAATAAAGGTTACCTAAAGCGTTTAACTGGAACGATGGAAAAAACTTTTTAACAAAAATAGAGCTGCTTACGATTGGCTCCTCAACGAATGGAACAACAACAAGAACCACGCTTAACACCAAAAATATAACCGACAAAACGATTGGTATCTTGATTGCACCTGGAAGTAGACGATCAGAATATAGAGCGCACTAATTTTATGCATACCTTCAGCGACAGGTAACTTCGCATACCGTAAATAAAGTAATGCCACTACCGTGACTACCTTTTGGGCCCACATCACGAAAGTCACATAATTGATCAAAGTGTCGATATGGACAAAAGATACGATAAATGTGCAGATGAGCTGAATATTTTTCGTTGAGACTAAGTTCTCAAAGTGTATGGCTTACCTGACCCAGCAGAGCCGCTCTTGGACTGTTTGAAGCCTCATTCACACAGCTAATGCATGTTGGTAGGTGACGTTCGCGAGCTGCAGCGTACATGAATCTGCAGCGATAAAATATTGGGTTGCAAGGTCGAGATTTTTCGATAACGTAATATATACCTTGAACCGCAGAAAATATTGCTGTTCAGAGTGCCCACCAAAAGTATAGCAACCATAAAAGGAATAGCATAGGAAAAATTACCCAGTGCTTTTTGTGCAAAGTCCTGAAAGAGCCAGATTTAGATATATAGGGATATGGGAAATATAACGAGGAGTCATAATGCTTGCAAACTTCGTGCTTACCGCAGCTACTGCCGTGCTGTTCAACACTTCCGCCGGAGATAGAACAACGAAATATGAAACGTTGATGGCAACGTAAGTAGCACATACTATTAATATGCCGGAAATGAGTGATAACGGCATTGTCCTGGAAATTTTTTCTCTTAAGTTTTTCAGCTTCGGCATTCTAAGTTCTGATATTAGTTTGTTCCTTCTCTTTTTTGGATCTTTGCATTTGAATGACTGTGCCAAAAGGTTTCCACGAAAATTATTCTAGTAGAGCGACCTAACAATTGGTGCGAAATGCTTGCAAGACATGGGATCACATGATGCCCGTCCCGCCACCTTCAGCTCGGGGCATCCGATACTGGCGCTGAGCTATCCAGACTGCTTGCCAAATCACCATGAGCATGTGAACATGGCGGAGCAGTGTTCACTCTGGTCTTAAATGCAGGATAAGGCACAATCAAAACTTGCTCATCGATTTACCCTAAAGATTATACCAACGGCTGTATTGTGCTCGCATTTTCGCATCTCTTGTTCGCTTGCTGCTCGAGGAGATGTCCATAGTGCAGTGTCCGTGCGCGCCGCTGCCCACGATCATCAGTGGGTCTTCGTAAGTACTTTTGGTTACCTATTGAAATTGGAGTCTTACTCCAGCCTTTCAAGAAAGCGCAGCAGTCCTCTTCAAAACAAAATTCAAACATTTCTTGATAGCTGTACAGAGGTAGTACACAGCCTACGAATCAAGGTCTCTTTATGTTGGCCAACGACTAAAAGTATACTCGTCTTTGCCGCGAGGGAACTTGCAGCCGGAAAGTATCAAAAATCCGTTACAAAAGCACACAACATTATTGAATCTGGAAAAATTAAGCACTTGAGATTCGACAATTAGACATGAATGTCTATTCTTTACTTCAGTTGTTTATCAAGGGTAGCCCTTTAAGTTAACCTAATAATTCTTGAATATTCTTATTCGAATGATTTATTCAAAACTTCCGGCTTGCTTTTATGAATATATCATCGGCTCCCAGTTTCGTGTGGAGGTGGGTTGCGGACTTCCCTGACTTTCAGGATAAACTTGTTAAATCTCCACGTTATAGCACTGTGTTTCGCACTCTATCGTCAAGCTTATCCTCAAAATCAGGGAAGTCCGCAACCCGCCTCCACACGAATTTGGAAGTCGATCGTACAAAAATCGTTCCTTGGTGGCAAACGCGGGGCATGGGTACTTCTCCATAGAATCCATGCAAGCGCAAGATTAGGTCAACCCCAAAACATGTTATGCAAGCTTTTATTATTGTTCCACTATTTCTTTACATAGTCATCTGGGCTGGGCTTGGAATGAAGTGCTGGTTTTTTGTTACTGTTGTGTTTCATGTATGATAAAGACTTTGACGTTTTTGATTTAGGACTCCTCGAGCGTATGAATGAAATGAAATGAAATGAAAGAGCGAGACTTCATCGACACGAAAGAGTGCAACGTTTGAGCCATCTTGAAGAAAAGGGTTTAGAAAGTGCAGCGTTTGTTGGATTTGAGAAAAGATTGCCTTCTATTGGCATCGAAACCTACTCAAAAGACCTCAAAATATACTATTTCAAGCGGGTTATCAATTACGGATTTTTGAGAAAACGTTAGCGATGGAGAAAGCTTAAAGGCAGTGGCAGGCAAGGCTCGGCAAATCTCAACCTAGTCAAATTTTCGCTTACCTGGGGTTATTCAATACGCTAGTCCCGAAAATCCACTTTCGAAAGCTTGAAAACGGCATAAATGAGCGTTTTTCAATGCCCTTCGCTTTGATATTGGACGAGTGGAGCAAGGCCGATGACGCTAAATCGTGGCAGACCCAATGGTTATAACGTTGCGGCGGGCAGCCTCCAATGGTGAGAAGGAAATTCCAACTCCTCCGAGAGCGTGTAAGATTGGCCTGCGCGTGTAAGTTTGAGAGCCATTTTCTCGGCAGGGAAGGCATGCTGAGCAACATTGCACTGTTTTCATACTTGGGCGGTAAGGAACCTATCGCGTTAAAATCCTGAGTTTTTGAGTTTTGCCGATCCACTGCCTTTAAGCTAGCCTTATCGGAAAGATCTTGAACCTACCACTGTGACAAAATTTCTTAATCCATTGCCAACGTTACAGGATTGCCCACCTATATGCAAGCTTGCACAATAACACTACCTAGTTACAAGCTTGCAAACAGTAAATGATTAGGCTGGGTTTATACTGATCCGTATGTTCTGGACCACTTCCAGCGCAGCGCTCGAATATGCGCCGAGCTGGAACAGAAACTTAGGAGGTGGAGGACATCAGGTCGCCGAAAGAGGGCGGTCCCCGCGGTCATTTGCGACAAATACGCACCCTTGTACATGCGCGGACATGCGTTCCTGCAGGGAATCCGCGCGGGACTCTTCCTTCGGCGACCTAATGTCCTCCACCCAAACTCAGGCGTCAGTATGAAACCAGCCTCAATGAAGCTAGCTAAAAATTGGATGCTTTTTTAATCAAAGTGGCCTTTCCGTACAAACTCATTATTTTGCAGAGGGTCAGATTCTAATTCCAGATCTCTCTCTCTGATATCTGCTAAGCGCCTCTGAATGCCGAGTTATGAGCGGTCTTGGGTCAAGAAATTGAACGCGCAACTAGACCAAGCGCATCTAAAACACACATCTCGCAAAAAATACCTTTGTTTCTTATATTCGCACTCGCCACTGCTATTTTTTATCTTTAAGACCGATTCTGTTCAGAAAATACCATTTTTCGCATCAAGGAAACACATAACTCGACATTCTACAAATCGTAATTAAGCTCAGAAAGGCCACTTCGCAAACGCGTATTCCTTGTAAGATAATTGCTCGAATCCAGATGCAAAAGATGATTTCAAAGGTAGCTCCATAAGTACTTGCAATACCCCGTTCCTCCCATTAACGTGGATAAAGTAATATGTGCTAAACCAGACTTCATATAGCTAGACATATCGGAAATCTTTTTTGGTAGAAACAAACAGATTTTGACGCCTCTACACGCTTGAGCAACAAGTCGAGCACATGTCTTATAGAAACGATACCCCCCCCCCCCCCCCCACCTTAGCACATCTATAGGCTACTGCATGACGAAGGCGCAAGTGACTTGTTTGTACTTGTAAACAATTAAATAAAGTTTTAAAATTTTTTAAAAATTCATTTTAGCCTTATAAAAATTTTTTTCGGGGGCGTGGCTGATCGGGGACCCGCAAAAATTTTGAGAAACACCTCAAAAAATTTTTCGGAGTGCGTGGCTAACGCCACGCGCCTTCATTAGAAAAAAAATTTTGTCGCCCCCCCCCCCCCGAGCCGAAATCCTGGGTACGCCACCGGGTCGCATTATGGAGACAATGCATTCCTTTAGTAGCGAGTTTCTGATTTTTTTCAAGTCTGCGCGGCCGTTTTTCTACCACTGCACAATGCTAACACGGTGGAAACAGCGTAACTGACGGCAACTTTGTTTTGTGTATGCGTTTTTTCAAGCATAACTTTGTCAGGAAGGGGGGGGGGGGGATGGGATCATATAACTGTCATGGCATAAACAGCTACTTATAATATAAATGGAGGGGCTTGCGGACTCTGAAGGTAAGTTACTTGGGTCAACACTCCATCAAATATATCACCAAGAAAGCTTTTTCACCCGTTTTATCTCGTTCGTTAGCACATACCTCTTATATTACATATTAAGTGTAAGAGTTTACTTCTACTTGTTTTGGCTTCGTGGCAGTCCATGGAACGATAGCACTTAAAATTCAAAGAACGTGATGGTTGGAACTTTCGAAGCAATTCTAATGTTATTTGGAACACTATAAAGTGAGATTCTTAGCATAGTTTGGAGGATATCAATGCTTTGTCATAAGTATAACAATGCTGACCTTCTTCGTCTTTGAAATTACTATATGTCGCCGAAAGTGAGAGGGGCGGACAATGCAGCAGATACTCAGCTTATGCTCGTATTGGAATGTGTACTTGTTGCAGATGTCCGCTGGAACTCCCACTTTCGGCGACATATACCCCCATCCCCTACCCAGGTCGGGCACGCCTGAGCCCACTTCAAAGTCAAAAAATAGAAAAAGTAAAAAAAATAAAGTCAGAAAATGTTCTTCATCGCAAGGATGAAGGACAAAAGAACCGACGTCTTCAATACCCTTTGTGGGCATGCGCCAAACGCACTCTACTCAATGAAGAGGCTTCTGAATGCGTGCGAGCCTTTTACAGTTTCTTCTTTAACTTACGGAAACAAAAAAGCGGATGGATTTTGCCAATGAGTCTGAAGGTTTGGAAGAAAATAGTAGAAGTTTGACTCAAAAATACAAGAGAAAGTAATGATTCAACAATTCTACTACTTTTACCATTTAATTTAACTCGCTTGGCTTCGTGGAGGCTGGGCTTCGTGACCTGATAAAGGCTATAATGATCAGAGAGCACTCGCGCGAGAGAGACGCAGGTGCGTCGCTGGCGCGAGGGGCTATAAATAGGTCACAAAGCCCCGCCTTCTTGAAGCCAAGCCAGTTGAATCAAAGGTTATCTGGGATGTTTCTAGTATTCACATGAAAAAATCCTGACAAACAGGATAGATATCGTGTTATCACGCATTCAATGTCGTATATAAAGTAGCTTTTTCAGCGGTATTCTCATTCTTACACCATCGCTTTTGCTTGCGGACTGCTTATACACCATGCGAGTTGGTGACATCGGCTAGCCTTCCAGTCTCGAGGGGCACACATTCTGATTTCAGAAGACTATCCACATCGCCGGGATTCTGATTCTTCTTGTGTGCTTGGAAGTTGTATGGGGTATCACTGATTTCACATTTCAAGAGATCCATTATTGGTTCAATCTGCATTTAGGAGAGGAAGAAGCGAAAGCAGAAGAAACGGAGGCAAGCGGACAGGAAGAAGGGAAAAGTGACGATCATCCTGCAGAAGGTAAGGTCTTGAAACAATTGCTGCAATCTTCGCATGAAAATCCGCGCTCTTGGGGTTCTTGGGGTTTCATGCGAAGGTTGCAGCAGTTAGACTGCGTTATTTCTAAACCGCTAAATTTGCGTTCAGGAAATTCAGCACCGGAATCAAATATTGCAGCAGCTGATGGAGATGGAGCCACGACTGCCAGTAAGTTCAAGAATGCGAATTTCAACCTCTGATAATTCTTCGAATTTAGAACTGGGGAGAATGGGAAACTCAATTATACCGGTGATCGTGGCAGCTGGAGCGGCTTTGCTATAGTTATACAAAATGGCTGCTTTTGCTAATGTATTGTGCCAGGTGTATAAAGCTTTGGCCGCATTTGTTGATGTCTGAACTAAAGCCTCTGATGACAATGTTTCACTGGAAAATACAGTCGAGTAGAAAATCAGATAGTGAATATTAGTGCCCTTGCGGTGCTGATAATGGGTGTTAAAATTTGCGCAAGGCTACCTCCCAATGAAAGGGCAGAAGCTATATAAGCTGAGCAAGCGCAACGCGACACGCGTGTATCCTCACTCTCAGGCCCTGAGTCTCATGCGCTTTGAAAAACCAAATTCGCGTTCTTTGATGATGTGCCTTCGTTCGGCGGCAGCCTTTAGGACTAAGGCCCTGGGCATACAGGGCCGGGCATTCACGCGATTTGAGCGCGCCGCGATTTGGCAATATTTTAAATATCCGTATCTCACTGTAAGCGTATTCTAAATGTGCAGAAGATAGAGCATCTGATCAATCCACGTACGTTATACACACTATACATGTACAGTTTGCTAATGTTGGATTCAAAAGCTTCTGGCAAATTGCCAAATCGCATCGCGACTGAAATCGCGTGAAGTATGCCCGGGCCTTACCTCACGCGATTTCAGTCGCTATGCGATCTGGCAATTTACCATATGTCTCCAAATTGATACTGGCAGACCTCAAATGCACAGCATGCCTAACTTTTGTAGGTTGTTAAAATGCTCTATCTTATAACATCCAGAAACTTCTTACGATGACTTATGAAGAATTGGGGCATTGCCAAATCGCATCGCCACCGAAATCGCTTGAGGACGCCAGCGCCTACTAGTCGCGCTGCGCGTTTTGGCACTGCAGCGACTATTCAAAATTGGTCATGAATGGTGTTTGCTTAAGTAGGACTTGAACCGTTCGCGTTACTTATAAAAAGCTACGCGCCTAGGCCTTCAAGAGCCGCCCACGATAATTCCGCGGAGATCTTGGCAGATCGCCAAGGCGCGTGAGTGCGGCGATTTGACGGAATCGCCGGTGGTATGCTAAGTCCCTAAGCATCAAATACTTTCTTCACATGCATAGCACTATTGTAGACGCCACAACCTGGACATTACTTAATCTACTTAATCTTACATTAATCGATAAAATCGATAAGCTATTCAAAGCTTCAAACATTTCTCAAACTAAACGCCTTTCTTCCCTGGTAACACACTAATAGAAAGCGGATTCTTGAAAGATTTTGAAACCTCTCCTCGCCCCTCCTCCGTTCTAAAGATCTGGTGCAAAGGCTATGAAGGAGAGGGAAAACCCTGAGTAAATAAATAAATCAATAAAATCAGTAAATCAGTGAATCAATTCTTTTTCATGAAAAACGTTAGAGGAGCAATAAGTTTGGCATGCTTGGAAGGAACGGTGAGAGTTGTCCTATACGAGCAAAAAAAAGTGGCGTTTCGAGCAGAGATTTTCTCTCCTACGCCCCAAAAGGACCAGGCATACTTCACGCGATTTCAGTCGCGACGCGATTTGGCAAGATTCCAACGGTCTATAACTCACTGTAAGCACATTTTAAATGTACAGAAGATAGGGCAACATATCAATCCACGTGAGTTATATACACTATGCATGTGCAGTTTACTAGTGTTGGATCTGAACACTTCTAGCGAACTGCCAAATCGTGCCGCGACAATCGCGTAAAGTATGCCCAGCCTTTTTGAGAAGTTGATTCCTAAAAGAGTGGTTCAAAACTGCTTGAGCGTATTGCCTATCATAAAATGAATCTTCACGATAAACAAGATAGTTATCCATTATCTTATCTCCTCTCACACTAGTATATAAAGCTAGCATTCAGCGGTATTTCTCACTTTTACGCATTTGTTTGCGCTTCTGCTCGACTTATTCACCATGCGAAGAACTGTCTATGTCGTCGGACTTCTCATTCTTTTTGTGTGCCTTGAAGTCGAAGGGGGCGAAGAAGCAGAAGGAGCAGGAGGCAGCACTCAACCGCCTGGAAATGAACAAGGACCAGCTGCACCTACAGAGGGTGGTGGAAAGACAGAGGCTACTACAAAATTGGGTAGAATGGAAGACTCTATCATGGCGGCACTAATGGCAATTGGAGCGGCTTTCATTTAGTTCTGTGAAAAGATGGCTTTTGCCAATGTATTGTGCCAACAAATAAAGTTTTTGGCAAAGTACTATGTCCTGTTCTATAATCTTCATCTGGAAATCAGGCTAATTTGCATGAAACAGCGTTGTTCAATACAATATTCGAGCGTAGGCCTACGCCATGTATTCCAACATTTCATAAAGTATGGGATAAACACGGTGTGTCTAGTCTGACATACCAGGCATTGTTTGAAACAAAGGCCACTTTTAGTTCTATAATTTTTCGCCTAGTAAAGTGTGCTTGCGGTGCCGAGAATTTGCGCGCGAACTAATACCTTTGATTCAATGAGTTTGGCGGCTGGAAGGCGATTGCTCGCGCCCGCGACACAGTCTCCGTCTCTCTCGTGAAGGTGCTCTCCGACCATTCCCCAACCTTAAGTAGGTCACGAGGCCCCGCCTTCCAGCCGCCAATCCAGTTGAATCAAATGGTAGCTACACTTGCAATGCAGGCTATTTGCGCCCACAGACTGCCAGTAAGTACTTTGCACGGCATGTCACCTTGCTTCCTTTACTGGAGATTCCGGAGACTGATATGTTACGGGCCCAGAGGGCGTAGCTCTATCGCTACAGCGCTGATGGTTGTTGAGGATCGCCTTTTCCGATTTAGTAGCAAATTGTAAGTCGAAGAAGGTCACTATGCTAATATAGGCTTCTGCTAATCAAAAGATACTGGCACATTTGCGCCCAGATGACACAAGCTTGATAGCTTGTTGCATGCGTGACCAAACCGTCTCGGAGATATGAAAGGCCGTTTTGTAATCAGCATCCTTTGATTGAACTGGCTTGGCGGCTGGAGGGCGGGGCTTTGTGACCTAATTATGGCCGCTCGCGCCCGCCACGCAGTCTGCGTCTCTATCGCGGTGTGCTTTCTGATCACTATCTAGCCTCAATTAGGTCACGATGCCCCGCCTCTTAGCCGCTAAGCCAGTTGAATCAAAGGATACCTCTCAACTGATATAGACACATCTCGTTAAAAGGCCACTTCAAATCACACGCCTTCCTTTGAGCGGAGGTATAAGACGAAGACAAAGTTGATTACCGTGATTCGGAGGACAGTTTACATTATTAGATCACTCCGCAAGCTCCTTCGTTATTTTACCGAGTTTGACCAGTGGATGCCGAGTCTTGCCAAGAGGCAATCAGAAAACTTGAAATGTACGATACAGCATCGGTTTATCTTTCTACTCAGACACTGAAAGCGGACGAGTTGCAAACCGTGTATCCCCTCCTGCGAGCCGGCTGGAGATATCGCTGTAGTAAGAAAAGGCTTGCGTCAGCCGCTCTAGTGATGCCCATTCCCCCCCCCCCCTCCCCCCTTTCCCCCCCCCCCCCCCGCCCGCGTTCTGTGGTGCAATCACACTAAAGTACAGCCTAAGCGAGTCGCGGCCCTTAAGTCAAGCGGAAGCCGGTCCGAGGCCCTCAAATGCAGCGTCCCGACAAAGTGATGGGTGAATCGTACATTGTTGCAATGGCAGACCTTCAGAAGTGTGGAGCAATAGCAGCTCTAGAAAGCCAAAAGTCCACTCCGAAAGTCTTGCGGACCCCACCTACTAGCACGTAATTTCCATGCGGACAAGGAGAACTTTGAAGAAAGCTTATTTTCACCATTTGATGCGCTGAAAAGCTTAGATACGGATTGGCATGGCGAGAAGGCCCGAAAAGGCGAAAGGCGAGAATTTGCTAGGACGCTGCTTACTGCAGCGGATCTTCGGCCGGCCCGCAGGAGCTAATAATATTCGGCCGAGTTATCGCTTATAGTAAACTAGCTAAACCCGGCTCCGCCCGGCCCTGTGAATAATACATTTTTAATCAGCATGCTCACTTACCCCCCGTGCCAACTCCCAGCCTCCGTAGCTCGAACTTTTTGAAAAATCGATAAAATCGATATCGATCGATGACGGAAAGTGGCCTATGACACCCGCCCGGCTCCGAAGGAAGTGTATGTGTGCAAAGTTTGGTCCGGATCGGTACAGAAATGAAATTTTCTATTCGGAACATACGTACACACAGACAGACAGACATACAGACATACAAACAGACTTCAGCTTTATATATAAGATTGAAGGCACCGTCCACAAACTTGCGGTTTTGAGCTTTTGGCAGCTTATGACAGTAGGATCCCCTTATCAAGCCCATGCCCAAGCCACGGCGTAAATGTAGCTTTGGAAGCTAGAAAATCCCTCGAAATACCGAAGGTGCATGAGGACGCCAAGTCAGCACCGCCCCCTCCAGCAACGCCCACCCATTCTGCGCGCCCATCCAATCACCGTTCGGAAAAGCCGGCCTGTGGGTTCTCCACAATGGCGATTGTCGGGGTTTCGCGAATTCTCAACTTCATTCGAGATTAGGGACATGACAAGGTCCCCGAAACGACAAGAACATGGAAGTCGAGGATTTAGGTGGACGGTGCCTTCGAGGGCGCGGCTCCTCCGCTCCCATTGTCTGAGTAGTGACTAGATTGGCCTTCATCCAATAATCGCAAATCTTACTTCCTTCTTGGAAGGTTATTCAGAATTTTAGGCTTACTTATTCAAATTTTAATATTGGTTCCTTTGCAGAAATATTGATTTTCGATTGAGTATGGAATTAATTTTTTAGCACTCGCAGATGTAAATTACAAGCTTTTTGCGTGATTTGACTGCTGTCTTAAGGAATCCACGTGTGATTTTCTACAACTTACTCCAGCATTATGGCCGAAACTCCATGGCCTTAAAAAATACGAATTTATGGATGATCAATTTCAAAGGATTTTTTTTGTAGAAAGCAAACAACTCGAAAGGAATGGAAACATGTGTAAAATGCATAGCTTCCTCTTTTACAGATATCCAATCTCCATATAATGCACCTGGGGAATGGAAGGGAAAGAAAACGAAAAACTTTTAGTATCTGATGCTTGACTTGATTATGTGCGGAGGAGACCTTATTTTATCTGTGCCTATAAAGCCTCGCTCAGAATTCACGCGATTTCTCGTCGCGATTCATCGCGATAAGACAACTGTAGCAGTATCACAGCATGCCGATTCTTGCAATTCGGTTATGATAGCTTTCCCACAAGGCTAATCGTGACTAACTATCACAATCGAAACCCACAAGAAGATCGGCATGCAATAAGCTCGTAACACTTGTCTTTTGCGAGCAATCGCGACGATGAAATCGCGTGAACTCTGCCTGAGGCCTAAAGATTCATCAGCGACATGAAAATGACATGAAGGGAAGAACTTATCAAGAAACAAAGGGCAATATGAAAAGCATTCGGATCTTTCGAAAAGCTCAGAGAGCAAATGAAAGCAAACTTCAGAGATCAAGTAAGTAAAATCTACTTAGATCAACGCTGAGCTAAAAATCAATGACATCAACCCTAGGCTGATTCCGAGTTTCAGTCGAAGGTAGTTATCGATAGTATATTTAGATTGTTTTTAGTATCAATTTCATAAATGACAATCGCTCGAAACTGATTAGTCAAGAAGCTGGAACTCGTACTGCGCGCGAAAACTAGTCTTCTGACTGATCCAGTTGGTGAAATATGATGTCAGTTAAAAATCTGATTAACCGAGTATCCGCTTTCAAATAAAAATAAAAATATTTCCAATTGAAGAGCTATAAATCACGATTTTCGTTCCAAAAAATTCATCGCGGCTTGATGAATAGTTACAAACAACGCTGAAAAAAAACCTATAAAATCTGTTGGCAGCTCTTCGCTTCCTGCCAAAAGATGAAATTATAATGGGAAAAATAGACGAATCAGGGGAATTTGCAATAGTGGTTAGAAACTTTGGGGTTCCGCTTATCGCTGAAGCCTTTTATAAAGGCGAGAAGCCAAATTTTGCAGCACGGCTGAAGGTGGCAGTGGCGGTCCTTCGAGGGGGGGGGGGCAAAAAATTTTCGATAAAGGTACGTGGCGTTAGCCATGTCCAGGAATGTGTCGGGACCCTTCATAAAGATAGATCCATGACTTCGAATTTAGAAAGCGGGAGCATAGCGGCAGCCACGCCCCGAAAAAATTTTTACAAGACTAATTCGAATTTTTCAAGATTTCTCATTCAAATATTTACAAGTATAAAAAGTTCACAGTCACATTTTCATAGCGTAACCTTCAGAAATTTCACGATCATTTTCGGGGCGGGACGGGAACGCCCCGCCCCCTCGGTACCCCACTGGAAGATGGGTATGTAATTTAACTCATAGAAGAAGTTGATGCTTACCTCCTCGGCTTTTCAATCTCAGGCGTACCATAGTTGAGTATATCCCATCCAGCATAGCTCCAGAGACCTCCATAAAAGGCTAATGTAAGTTTACCCGGCGCATAAACGCTACCTTCCATCATATTTTCTAGATTTTGCGTCCAACCTGAAATATTCGTATAATCACTTTGTTAGAATAAATTAGAAATTCTGCATAAACTTACCCTTGAAAATGAGGTAATAAAATCCCGTAGCAATGATGATGCCCATAGCAAGCATTTTTGCCGTAGTGACAACGACTTGAAATCTTGCAGCAAAACGATCAATGGCGTAAAAATTCAGGAATGTCAAAATAACTGTAAATAATTGAAAAAATTCCCCATAAAACTATAGAAACTATTTGGGCCGTACCAACAATGGAATAACCCAGAATACGTTCCGTAATTTCATGCCATGGCGACCCAATCGCCAATGCCGGGGATATACCGTTAACTAAAAGGAAGAATAATCTCGAAGAATAACATTTCATGGATTCTTACCAATATATTGTCCAAATGTCAACGCTTGTACGGCAGCTGAAGCGGGATATGTAATAAAGACCGATACCCACATGAAAGCAAAGGCGATAGCTTCCCACCCAACATAAACGGTGTAAGCAAAATCACATCCAGGTTCCAGTATAGAGGTACCCAGTTCGATGTAACAGATAGCACCTGAATCAAGGATTGGTCATCTAGCAATAGTAGAGGAGTCAGTCGCGAAGTTTTGTTTGTAAGCGGTGGATGTCTATATGACCCTTGATTCAACTGGATTGACGGCTGGAAGGCGGGCTTTATGATCAATAAAGGCCGCTCGCGCCCGCCACGCAATCTGCGTCCTTCTTGCTCGCGTGCTCTCCGATCATTCTCTAGCCCTAATTAGGTCACGAAGCCCCGCCTTCTAGCTGCCAATACAGTCGAATCAAAGGTATCGGGTATTTGATCCCATACTTATTCGTTTTATCTCCTTTTTGTATTACTCTCACAAGGAAAGGAGGGTTAGTCGAAGTGGCTTTTTTGATATGAGATGGATACTTTCTTGAAGGGTATGAAAACTGATTCAAATCCACCTTCCTTATCTGCTGTGGATTCCCAGGCAAGGAGTTATGGATGATCTTATGATAGGAAAAAATCAGGAGTAGGGGAACGAACTCCGCCAATTCGGGTTGCCTCCGCGGACTGCTGGTCCTGCCACGACATGCAACAACTGCAAATGGATCAGTTGAAGGCGGAGGCGGCTCAAAACTGGCGGAGTTTCTTCCTTACCCCTAAAATCAGTCGTAACATTTTTTTCTACGACTCGAATGATTTTCGGGTTACTCTGTGCAGTAAATATTTTCAATTTGAACATACCCAATTAACTCTACCACTTCAGAACGTCAGGAAAAGTCAACGACTGACTTACACTGATCATGCATTGAACTTTTTGCCCATGAAAACCTTCAAATTCTTTGCTCAGAAACCCACAGCAGATAAGAAAGATGTTTTAGAATCAGCGTTTTCTACTCTTCACTCAATATACATCTCTTACAGAAAGGCCACTTTGATTAACCTTTCTTCCCTTGTCAGTATTACTGATGTAATACCTTACGCTGATTTCGTTAACCCTTGTTTACAGATGGCAAACAACAGCTCGACGCGATATGATGCAAAAAGGGAGGATTCTGGCGAACCAGTGAGGAACCTGTCACCATCGACCCACTATAGTGGACGTCATCCGTCTAGTCACCTCGGTGTCATGTGTGTTACTGCACACAATTTCAAAATCCCGGATGAGGTGCTGGGCTCCCGCCGTGCCGTACTTGCACCAAATGCGCATACGGCTAAAATTCGACGCCAAACTGCCCGTTTTTAACGTTTTTTTTTTGTTTTTAGCTGCATGCGGGGTCTAGTTCTCAATGATTTGTTACCTTTACACTCGTGCATTGCCGTTGTAGATCGGATATCTCAAAAGTTATCACTTCTGCTTTCAGGTAAGGGAGGCACATGGGCAAAATTGTGTGCAGTAACACATATCGCACCGAGGTGACTAGACGGACGACGTCTACTATACGTTTAACGCTCCGATCATTATTTGTTTACTGTGTTGTGATTTCTTTTTGTAATGCCGGCTTAGTCCATTTGTGTACCTAGGAGAACGCTCACCTAGCAATGATATGAGGCCACATCCTACCCATACAATCAGTGAAAGTCCTGCGGATTGCGTATAGCTAAGTATTGTCGTTGGTGTAATGAATATTCCCGATCCAATTATGTTACCTTAACGAAAGTTCATCACAAGTATGAGTGAATCTCCAAGACTTGTACTTACCTACTACATAACTGGTACATTCAACAAATCCCATCTTGTTTCGATTTCGTTGCGAGCCGGCTTCGTCGGGCATCATGGCCTATCAATGAGATTGGTAATTGGCGCTGAATAAGGCTGATATAAACAGCCGAAAAAAAAGTACTACAAATGTTTTGTAAATTGGGAGAAGGCATGTATAGGCGGAAGTCCTGGTAAAGATTATTTTATCTATTGCGAGGTGAGGGGCTTGAAACCTTAGAGATTGATGGTTTACACTCCCGAATTTGTTCTCAGGACCATAGAAGAGCTGATCGAAATTTGAGCAATAAGGTTTAGAGTCGATTGCGCAAAATCGCCCGTATCGCTGCAGGCTGAATGCACGCGAGCGTGCCTGCAACGCGGCTGCCGCGTCTGGGCGCTGTGATGACCCAGCGCACGGATGCCAGTGTGTTAGCCCGCGAGAGACAGGTTCGCGGAAGTTCAGCATGGGCATTCCGTGAAATCAACTACATAAAAGAATTACAAAGGTCACCTATTTAGAGCCAACGCAAGCTAGCGAAATGCATCAAAGCAGTTCCGAGCATTTCACCTGCAATTCCTTGCAACGCAAACAGCGATCATAAATCTGAGACGGGTCCGTCCTTACAAAGTTTGAAGTGACGTTTTGAAAAGACTCGCGGAAAAGCGAACGAATTTCTTTGAAAACGAAACGCAGCGCCGTTTGACACATTTTTTTCAATTGATCCTTATGTTTCTCTTTTCTCTCGTTGATAATGTAAGTCCTTCACTTCTAATTTCTGCATGCCTCACAAATTTTGTGGCTTAGAAGCGTGCGTCCCAACCACTCTAAAGATGGTAAAACTTAAAGTTTATATAATTTTCCTCATAAATTTTAAACTCACTCTTTCCCTAGTGCTTACTATAATAGGGGCTTGGCTCCCACAGTTTTCGATTTTTTTTGGTAGAACCGAATAACATAGGAAACCCCAGTTTTGGTAAGAAAAACAAGCGATTCAGCAGTGCAGTTAGCGGGCTCTCAAAAAAAATTCATGAAATTCGATCAAATTTTAAGGTCTTGACAAAGGCGATCTTTTTCGAAACGTATGGGAAAATGACATCATAAGCCTTCGGCGTGAAGGAATATATTACTAAAGATATTGAGTATTGTCGGAATACAACTACCCTCCCACACCTGCTCAGGGTGGAAGTTGGCCCAGGATACCCAACCTGGCGACCCCCGCCGCCGGCAGGAGCCGATTCCCTCTTCTCCTTAACAATTCTTAGACTTATATAACTTATTAAAAATTATAAGGCTAATGCCCACTACACATAGGTAGAGTGCTCGCAAACCTTTATCCTGACAGTATATAAGGCGAATTTTCAATCCAAGCAATACTTGCTTTAGCATTCTGCGTTCTACTTTTTATAACAGTTTTCTTAAATCTCGGTTTCCGATAAAACAAAACACTAAGCAACTGTGGCAAGGTAAGGGAACATTTGAAATTATTTATAATATCTTGTATCGATTATTTTTCAATCATTTTCCAAAAGATATGGTCAAGACTAAATTGTTGTAAAAAAGTCAATTTTTAAAAGCCGTGTACAGGCCAAATCTAACTCCTCCCATTAATGCCGATCCCGATTTAGGCCCCAGGAGAGGAGCAACTGCGTTGTTCCAGTTCTCTAATGTTGTCTCTGAATGGAGATAATGGCCCTGGAAGAGACAAAGTGTTATCAAGCCCCGCCCACCCATGTACTGCAAGCCGTCCACACCCTCCAGACCGGGTCCCCAGGAATCGGGTTTTTTAGGGGTTTTGGACAATTTGAACATCATAACCGTAATCAGGCGCCCAGGAAAAGAACCCAGAATGGCAAAAACATGGGAGGCGAATTTTTGGGTGAGCTGCCCCCAAAGAACGATAAGCTCAGCTTATTGCATGTTTCCACAGATTTTCTCCTCATAATCATTTTCAGCTTGCTAAACTAAAAGTTTGAAGTTACTCATTTATGTATCAAAAGTTCACTCTTGTGTTATCTGGGCTTTAAAAAAACTAAAATTTCCAATAAAAAATCGAAGGAATGTTTATGTTCTCGAAAAATTACCTAGAGTTTTATGGCAAGCTTATCGCAAAGCCTGCAAGGATCAAGAGATTTTGACATCAAAAATAGGAGAAAAAAGTAATCAAATAATACTGGAGCCGTGCAGGCCTCGTTGGCCAATGCTCTTTGAGGGTTGATGACCGGTCAAATACGCGAAAAACTTTCAGGACTACCTAATATATGAAATTTATTGTCAATGCGAAGAATACAGCAGCTGGAGTTTATGAGTACACTGAATCAAAAATCACGCAGGTGATGAAAAAGGCAATTGGCTTTGTTCACCAAAAGCTACGTACTAAATGCAGATCAATAGCGACTGTATAATGGCTGTATAATTGCCTCAGCTGTTTCGATTGTTGTCCAAATTTTAGTCCTGCGCAATATTGAATATATTCTTTCTAGGGAAAAAAACGATTGAATGTTGAAGAATGTTGCTGGGTATCAGAATAACATAGTAGAAAAATCTAGGACACAAAAAGCATCATCATAAATCGAAGTCAGGCATCCCAGCAAGCAACGCCCTCAGACAACTGACCGAAACTTCCGCAGAACGTTTGGGGGAAGTTCCGCCGGATCGCCTATCACCTTACTCTATTGACTGTGAGGCTCACTTACTTACTCTGCACTACGACTGACATGTTCGATAATGCAGTTTAGTTTTTGGCGAGGCAACATCACATTAGACAACACTTTCAAAACCCTGCGGAAGTACTGGCATGTTAGAGTGCTGCGAAATCGCTGGCAATTTTCGGAACTTCCGCAGTGCTTCGTATAAAACTACACGGAAGTTGCGGTTTTCATCCAGTCCAACGTGAAAATCCTGCGGAATTTCCCCTTTCAACGTTTCCACTTTTGCAATAGTAAACAAAATTCTGCGGAACCGCTGCAAATTTTGCTTGCCCTGCAGAAATTCCGGTGAACTTTCTGAGCTAATTCTTCGCTGAACAGCTTGGCAATATAAGATGACAGTCTATATTTTATGCGCATCAAACATTCATATCTATACTTGCCGTATTTTTTTCGTGGCTGGAGAATAATCAACAAAAATGGGCCAAAAATGCAGAAATATCGCCTTTTTTGGGTCTTTTGTTCCAGCTTGATATTCCATGACAATTAGCGCCCGAAGAAGGCTAAAAATCATTGTTATACTTCCACAAATAAACTTTGATTCAACTGGCTTGGCTCCTGGAAGGCGGGGCTCTGTAACCTTATAAAGGCCACTGCAGTCTGCGTCTCCCTCGTGCGACTGCTCTCTAATCATTACCCCGCCTTCCAGCCACCATTCCAGTTGAATCAAAGGTTACAACCTATTAAGTAATCCTGATTTGCTCCTTTGTGACCTCTCGGTCACATGTAATTTAGAGTTGAAATTGGATAAAAACATAAAATTCAAGAAATCAAGTGGATTATCAATTTCTGTTGACTTCCATCACATTAAGTGATGGTAGTCAATAGAAATTAAGATTTTGAATCCGTAAATTGCATAGTATTTTAGAGAACAATCCGAACAGTGTGGAACAGAATTCAAAACAGAAGTTAACAGAAGTTTTATCTGATGTTCAAAATTTTTTTTTGTTTTGAATGGCAAAAATAGAACTATAAGAAAGAAGGAAGCGGTATACACGGAGGGTTGGAAGTTTTGGCGATTATTTGAATGCTATTAAAAGTCAAAAGAACGAACAAATACATCAAAGCGGCTTAAAGGCAGTGGACAGGCAAAATGGACCCCTGTCAGATTTTGGTAGTTTCGGGTAGTGGACCCCCCAATTACACCGTAGCCCCAACCCCAACTTCCAGTTGATGCGCTAAGTCCTGAAAAAAGCGCTTCAAACTTCCACCAATAACGCCCACTCAATGGAAGTGGGCGGGGCTGGTGGAGTTTTGAAGCGCTTTTTTCAGGACTTAGCGCATGAACTGGAATGTGGGATTGGGGCTACGGTGTACTTGGGGGGTCCACTACCCAAAACTACCAAAATCTGACAGGGGTCCATTTTGCCTGTCCGCTGCCTTTAAATACTTTTATCATCAATATTGTGATCAGCTGTCAAACAGTAATCAGGGGAGCTTTTGTCACTGACCCTCTTTGCGCATTCAGATGTTCTTTTAAAATATTTCTTTGTCGGTAAGTATTGAATGCGCATCCCGAACCGCATCTGCATCACGCTATTGTATTTCTTAGTCAGTCGTGCAAATGGCACTGTAATGAAGAAAAAAAAAACAGAAAACATATCGTCAAGGATCTTTGAAACAAACTCTGACTCATCCTAAGACTAGAAGGAATATAATTGCTTACGAAAAACCTCTGTTATGCCATTTTGGTGATTTATGGTCCCTCTACTCAATCCGTTAATTCATTCCAACTCCTTTTTTACTGTTTCGCTTTCTCACTATACATAAGCAGGAAGTGGAGTGCCAAGAGGGAGGGGGGTGCGCGAAATTTTTGAAAGTTACTTAACCCTTGGTTCAGCTGGTTTGGTTTCGGGAACGCGGGATTTTGTGACCTAATTAAGGCCTCTCGCGCCCGCTACGCGGTCTGCGTCTCTTCCGCGCGCGTGCTCTCTGATCATTACCTAGCCTTAATTAGGTCACGAAGCCCCGCCTTTCCGAAGTTAAGCCAGTTGAATCGAATGATACATGAGTTATAAAAATGTGCAAGTGACCTGTTTATACTCGTAAATCATTGAAATAATGTTTAAAAGCCTTTAAAACAGTTTAGCCTTAGAAAAAAAAATTTTTAGGCGTGGTGGGTCAAAGAAATGCGTTGAAGTCTGTAACAAAACACCATTAATCTTACCTCGGTGGCCTCGGCAGCACCTATTTCAACCATTTTGTAGATGGAAGATGTGGATAGAAACCTGCACGATCAAGAATACAGAATAGGAGTACGTGTCTTCTAAGAAAGGTAGATTTCAATAAACTATCTGAAAACCAATAATATCATCGTGAATTGGATAGCAAGAATGATGAAGATGCATGGAAGAAAAATGAGGATTTCTTCAAAAAATAAAAGTTAGAGAAATTGAGGTGCCAAATGAAACATATGGTGAATATTATGGCGAATGAGAAATAAAGAAAGAAGGGAGCGAAACAGATAGATAATTTGGCAAACGAAAAAAATGTAAGGGAGCGTTTCGCAAGCGGAAAAAAATGAGGGATTGAGAAGAAGAGTGATTTTAGTGAATGCAGATTAAAGAAATAATGGGAAGCAAACGAATACCAATGATTTTGGCATAATGGAATGAGGAGCAAAATGCAAATGTGATAAATTCTTTGGCAATGAAAAAAAATGACGGGGCGAAATAAAACATTTTTTTGGCAAATGAAAGGAGAATAACGAAGGGAAAGCAGAACATAACTATAGTCGGAACAAGTAACAATCAAGCAGATAGGTTTCACTAGCTTCAAATGTTTAACTATCAATGATTTTTCACCATTCTTCACTTTCTTCCCTTTGCTTAAAGTCCGATTCAATAAAGAGGACTGAATGCCCGAATAGCCGAGAAAAAATCGTTTCTCCGTCTTAAAAATTCCTATGGACTTCCTGCTTACTCAGACATGTACTCTCTATATTTGAAATATATCTGCGAATTTGCTTATTTTTCTTCTATTAACTAGAACTCGAGAAACATACACATCTAGGAAACAAATTACAAAAACTTATTAGTCTTTATTCGGGATTTCTTGCGCTAAATCTCAAATTTCCCAAAAACTTTCGCCTCTAAAAATCCAAAAATTCATGATTAAACTTCCGAAGGTTCCCACTTCAAAATTGCCTGTGTGGAAGCAGCCCAGAGCAGTTTTGGCAAGGACATGAAAATAATTTTTCTTCTATTTTTAGTGATGGTGAAATTAAGCAAACGTAAATATAAATGCCGAATGTGGATAGTACATGCCTGAGGAAGTAGGAAGTTGTAAAGAGTTTTCAAACGGAAACACGATTTTTTCTCGACTTTTTGGCCATTCAGATTATCCTAGATTTAGGCTTCAAACTTCATGTAAAACAAATTTTGAGCAAATACTTGGGTGACAATCTTGTAGAGTTTGCTTTCTCTGTCGAATTGTATTGCAAAACAAAGAAGAAAATTATGATTTATAGTGGGTGAAGGAAAAAAGGTAAAAGTTCATGGGATTTTCCAGTGCAACGGGACAGGTGAATCAAATAAATTCAGGAGAGAAAAAAGAAGTCCTTCGAAAATTGCCTTATTTTTTTTTATAATGTTTGCTGAGAGGGAAGAATCAACATTTCTAATCAGATGCTCAAGAGCCTTTGCATTATGAATTAATCAACGCTGCTGACGCAATCACTCCATCAGCAATTGAAAAAAAAAACAAAAAAAGCGCGCAAAAAATGTTTGAAGTTCGCTCATGAAGAATAAAAATGAAAGTTCAAAAACTTGCGTTTTTGTGTTCTCCTACGTTCAAATAATGAAAAACGCTATGTGCGATGAACCACAAAGAATTCGAAATGCGAAAAAACGATCGCTGGCCGACGAAGCTTGCAAATGGCGATGACGTCATATCGCATTCGAAGCTGCGTGTCGATAAAAAGGTCAGCGACAACTGTCACTGGATACACTCATGGCTCACATAGATTCTCCTTTTCCTTGACAAATCTCCATTCCACCATGATCAGTTGTCCAGGTCAATGGCCTATTTTGCACTTGAAACAAGGTGTTAGAATGCTTAGCGCCCTATTTAGACAAGTTTTTAAAGCAGAACAAAAGTTCTAAAAATTGGCAAATTTGTAAACTTGAAAAAATTTGTAAAATTGCAGATTTGAGGTTTTTACAAATTTAGCACTTTTTAGAGGAATAGATGCACTGATTTTCCAATCGATAACGTTAACAAAGGGTGCAAGTTCCAATCACAACAATACCACAGAATTCGATATTGCTTTTATTCCATTCTTATAATTGCTACCATTGGAACTACATTATCATCTGCGCTCGCAAAAAGTTTGAAATGCAAAAATATCAGCCCAAAAGTCTAGCGCTCAAATTTTTCTGCACAAAAAATACGGTCTCAAGTAATAAAGTCAAAAATGTTCAAAAAACGTTCCAATTCATATTTGATATATTTTACATAAAAAGAAAAATTATACCAGAAATATGAAACATTTATAAAATCGGCTCAATAAAAACAAAACTTAAAAATCACGATTATTCGCAGAAACATAGTCAGTACAAATTCATTTAAATTAACAAAAAGGGTTGTAAAATCATAACTAAAATTAAATGTGACTCTTACTCAACCATTTGGCATTTATAGTAACCACTTTTAAAAAATTCGGACAGAGAAATTCAAGTGCTTTAAAATTAATCTGTGATTTCAAAAAGAAGAAATGCCAAAAAATTACAATATTTTTATTGAATTCTTATGCAGATGGACCAATCTTATCATGTGTAAGGCAAGAAAATTCATGTTTCAAAATAATTGTTACGAATTACTCAAATTTCGAAATATTTTGTTACATTTCAAAATATTAGGTCGTTTCAAAAGTAATTTCGCTTTTTTCAAACGGGCGCCACGTTTGATGGAACAAAGTTTTCTAAGAGATCCCGGAAGCATTCGATGCACCATTTCATCTTCTTTCTAACGGTTATGAAACTATGTGCAGTTGTTGAGCCTCCAAAAGACAACCGGCAAGTCCGAAAACTCGAACGACAACTTCTGAGGATGGCATTGAAGAACAAAAGAGATCATATGTATGCAATGATTAAGAAATGTTTGTCTAAAGAATCAAGTTGTCAGCGATTTTTGCCGAGTAGTCTTTGGAAGGGAATAGAAAGTGAGTCAAAGAGCATCTGTAATTCTATCCGTTCCAATGTCAAATCAAAGTTACAGGAAAAGTTCAATAAGCTGCTAGAAAAAGAACAACCGCAAACGCCTAGCATGCCACCAAAAGACACCGCCACCATTGAGTCAAATCACCACCATTTTGAGGACTCTAGTGATAATGAGCTAAAACATCGCGAGTGACTATCATTGGCGGCACCACATTGTCAGAAAATGCACGTTCTCTGCTAAACTTAGGACCAGCATTCTCGCCTACACAATCTATAAGCCCAGCAGTCGTACGTAAAATTGTCGGAAATTTACAATATGTTCAAGATCGTTTGCGCTATAGGGCCAAAATGGAGCAGCAGACCAATCAAAGATTAGTAACAACTTTTCCGGCAATACCGTTCCCGTCCATGTATTTCAAACCGCAAGAGCCAGTGCCTTTAGTAGATTCCGCTTTTAGGGTTTTTGCCACATCGGTTTTTAGTGTGCTTCGAAAACAGATACGTAAACGCCAAACATCCAATTTAACAGCAGCGCATTATAGGGGTCTAAAGGAAATTCGGGATCTTGCAGCCGCGAATGCTATCAAGGTGACTATTAGCGATAAAGGCGGCGAATTCGTCGTTATACCTAAAGAGCTGGAAATTGCAATCACTCGACAGCACTTAGAAGACGAAAGCATATATTGCAAAACTTCAGAGAAAGAATTCACCAAACAGTACCGAAAATTGAACAGACTTTGGGTAGAGACAGCGAAGAGTGCGGGCATAGCTAAAAATGTTATATCGCGACTCAAATGTGATTTACCAATCTGTCCTGTTCTGTATGTTCTTATAAAAACACACAAAATACCTGCCGACTTGCTAACTTCGGAAGATCCAACGAACTTCAAAGTTCGACCTATCATAAGCAACGTCGGAGGCCCTACAGACAGGATTGCATGGCTACTCAATGTTATTCTTACACAACTGTTGCAATACGTCCCTGCGCACTTGAGTAATACTAATGCCCTGCTTGAACGCCTGCGGAATACACAATTCAACGATAACGAAGTCATCGAATCATTTGACGTAACAGCACTCTACACCAATGTGTCAAATTCAGCTGCACTACAAGCCGTGTACGAGCTTTTAAGCGATAACATCAACAACATAAGCTTATTGGGTTTTACAGTCCAGCAGATAATGGTGCTGTTAAAAGAATGTCTAGAATGTTCGATTTTCCGCTGGTCAGGACAATATTTTAGACAAATCAGGGGCCTTGCAATGGGGCAACGCTTGGCACCCGCGTTAGCTATAAGCTTCATGTCAAAAATAGAAAATTGCATTTTAGCCCGCAGGCCCACTCTCTATTGTCGTTACATCGATGATATTCTCATCGTTTGTTCGACACAGACAGAGATGGATGTCTGTTTCGATTTACTTGATAAGCAATCAGCTAACATAAGATTCACTAGGGAAAAGCCAAAGGACGAGTGGCTTCCGTTCCTCAATGTTCAGATAAACTTGAACAAAGGAGAGTACAGGACCAGCTGGTACAGAAAGCCCAGTAACAAAAATATCCTTGTACACTACTCTTCTGCGCATCCTATCCGTACTAAAATCAGTGTAGTTGGAAACATGATCCGAACAGCCAAAATGGTGTCATCCGACGGCACGCTAAAGGCTGTATCAGTCAAGAAAGCACTCCAAATCGCTGAAGCTAACGGATATCAACCCAGAAGAGTACATCGCGTCATCAGACCGCATAAAAACCCTAGCGATAAAGTGTCATTCTGTTTCCCTTTCATTTCAGATACATTGAGCAGCGCGATTAGAATGTGTTCGAAAAGCTGGGTTGCAAGATTCATTGCGGCTTGTCGAAATACCCCCTCCAAACCTTAAACGGCGCTTGGTACGAAATAGAGCAAATGATAAAGCTTGTACAGAAACGGATTGCTTGATATGCGCCACGAATAAACAAGGCGATTGCATGTGCTCGGGCGTGATTTACCTTTTGAAGTGTAAAGCATGTGGCGATGAATACATCGGGGAGACGGGTAGGCCACTGCGTCTCAGAATTAAGGAACACATGGACGGGATGCGCAACATAAGAATGTCAACTCCGCTGGGCACGCATCGAAAGCTGCACCACGAAGAA